ACAAGGTCAGTGTGGAAAACGACCTGTATTGGATTCTGTTTTTTTTTTTTTCAACCTCACTCATTTTTTTTTTCGGACTTTTTGACCCTCGCAGATCACCATCAGTGCCCGAGGCCTTCAATTTTCTGTTGTGGAAACATATAACACATGGTAGTTAACAAAATCTGCTGTTTTCTTATCACTCTATTTCAGTGTCTGCCCTGGTCACCCCACACTGCTGGACCTCCCAGCAACATTTAATCCTAATATCTGCTATTTCCCAGAGGCATTTCTCCCAGCTCTTAGCAGCATTTGTCCTTGGGTCAGACTGCTTCCTATTTGGCCCTTGCCTAAGGCTCTCTTTGACACACATAGGCACACACGATCAGGGCTATTACACACAGGGCAGCGCTCAGAGTGACTCATATTAATCATTTACTCCTGTGGAGGAAAAGAAGCAATAGCAACTTCAGCATGTTTTCAGACTCTCACCTTCAGGGTTAAGTTAATATGATTCACATCCGCTCACCTTGAACTGCCTCCCCCTCAGCTTCGGCTGCGATTTCACCTTTTTGTTTTCTGACTTCCTTCAGGTGATACGAGATGTCCTGCTTCTAGGACACAGGCAGGCCTTTGCATGGGTGGATGAGTGGATTGGTAAGAATCTTACAGATGGCGGCAATAAAACTAAGAACACTCTGATTAGTTTTTGTCTTTGAGTCGAGCTTTTTGGAATTTATAAAAAAGCCAAGTTTTTTTTTTTTTTATAAAACTAACAGGCTTCATTGGATAAGAACAATGAGGATGACAACACAACTTTGATCAAACTTTGGACTGACAGAGTAAAATATGTTTTGCCTAAGTATTCATACTGTTTATAATTGGTAATGAAATTGTTGAACATTTGCTAATTCTTCTTAGCAAAATGGCCTAAACTCAGTCAGATTACATAGTAAACATCTGTTTTCAGGATTTATCAGAGACTCAACAGGTTCATCCTTTGCTCAAGCTGAGCTATAACACGGGAGAAAGCTTTGATTGTAGTCCTGGCTATTTCAAAGTATTTATCCGACAAAGCAACTGCACCGGATCTGAAAAAAATTTCAAATTAAAATGGTTTCCTTGAAAAGTGTTAAAGTTTAACAGATGCTAGAGTTTGTAGGGTTTTTATAACCATAGCTATATGAGGTATTTGGCCCTCTGTTCAAGATTGTTTTTTTATTTTTTAATAAAGTTCAATTTTGTACAGCAAAGAGGTCATAGTACAACCTAACACTTGCACATCTTGTTTCATTTTGTTTTCTTTCTGTTCTGCTGCAACCAAATGCAATGATTGAAATAATGTGTTCTGCCTTTTACAATAGAAACCTTCCTTAAATAATACAGAAGTTTGAGAAAAAGACAGCCTTCTTGAGATAAATTTTTACTCCTACTTAAACTCACCATTTTCTCATTGTTGCCAATTAACCTCAGAAAAACTGATTCTAACAGGATAAATGTACCTCAGTTTAGTCTTCATGTTTCACAAAGGCGATTTTTGTGCTGGTTTTGCAGTTCGCCCTCAGTTAAAACCTTTTTCTTAAGGTCCTTTGCATTCCAGCAGCTTTTTCTTTTCAGCCATCTAATGAGTCATAGAGCTGAAAGGTTTTCATTTGTCTGTGTCAACTTGACCTTAACTGTGCTTTTAAATAAATTAATATCTCAGTGCCAGAGCGTTGGCAGTTTGAAAAGGCTGAGATGGCCTATCCTTGAAAAAAAAAGTTTTAAAATCCTCCAAAGTGTTAGTTTTTCTATTTATTTACTAATTTCAGATAAGATCAAGACGACATTCTGTAATGTCAGTTTTAACAGAGTTCAATTTCTTTTTTTTTACAAGTTTTACACCTTTTCCTTAGCTAAGATTGTAGACTATAGTATCTATTACTACACTTCTGCTGATGACAAGCAACTTTTTATTTTTGACGACATGTAACCACAGCTTGATAAAAATGTCTGGATGGGACAGTCGACATTGTTTTTGGGTCCATAAATGTATTATTAAAGATTAGACAAATTAGATCTAGAAAAAGTAACTAGAATGCGAGAAACTAAACTAAATTTAGTCAACCACAAACTGTATAGGAAACCAGCCTGTTATTATCCTACAACATTCATTTCAAAACAGCAAAACTGGTAATTTTTCTAAATAGGTTATACTGGTCTATCATTACAATCTTTATTGGAAAATAGTTTCCAATTTCAATTAAAACAAAGTACCCAGATACGCACTATGTCAATTTTGCCAACCAGAATACAGACGTTCAAATGTCAAAATCCCAGGCTTTTTCTGTATTTACAGCTGTCATATTGCTTAAGTTTTCTCTGGGCCTGAATTTGGATGGACATTGTCACCCTGTTTGTGTTCATTTCTCTGTTCCATCAGACATGACCATGGAGGAGGTGAGGGAGTATGAGCGTGCCACGCAGGAAGCTACTAATCTGAAAATTGGGACCTTTCCTCCAGCCATCTCCATCTCAGAGACCCCTCTGGCGTCCAGCACCCGCAGCGGCCCCAACAGCGCCCCGTCCACTCCCCTTTCCACCGAAGCTCCGGACTTCCTGTCTGTGCCCAAGGAGCGACCCAGAAAAAAGTCCGCTCCAGAGACCTTGACCCTGCCCGATCCAGGCCGCAGGGATTCACTCTTCAAGCTGCCAAGTTTTTTCTCCTGGAACTCCAGTCCCCAACCTGAATGAGTACTGAGCCTTGCTCTCGACCTGCGGATCAGTAGAGGATGCTTGCTTTGCACATCCAACATTGCTCCCTCCCTACTCCTGGCCAGTTTAAGTGATGGAGGCTTTTCACAGATCTGGTCATCCTTGACCCCTCAGTAGTGTTCCTGGTGTTCCAGCAAAGTCAGCAGCTCCCAGGCTGCCTTTAAAAGGTAGACAGTCTCACAAAGCCTCTGAGGTGCAAAAGCAAAGTTTGTTCAGCGAAGAACACTACAAAGAATCTCAGTCATTTCTTGGTTTTAGCAGATCATCCATCCCAGACATCCAAGCTCAGGGTGTCTTGATTTACAATTTCATTCAGCACAAAATTAGATTTTCTTTTGCTTTTTCACCTTCAAACATCTGGATCTTTGTTAGCCAGAGGTTGTTGTTCATTCTTTGTATTTATGTAGTTAAAGAGATTTTGACGGATTGCTTTGCATAATGTGACTGTTAAATATAAAGAGTTTTACACTCAAGTGTACAGTGATTGAGTAAGCGTGTATAGACGACATGAACATGATTTAATCAACATAATGTCAGCACTTAAAAAGATTTAAACTCCAGAGATGAAGCTGCTACAATTTCTGTTGTGTACATTACAGACTGTTTTGTCTGTACGTGTTTATATTATCTCTGCCATATTATTGTCTCCTGGTGGTATAACTTGACATTAAGCTGCTTTTAAAATATTTGTCAATTGATCGTTATGTCTTTTTGCTGTCATACTTGATGTGTTTTACCCAAGGTTTTAATCGAGTGATCATGTGGTGTTCAGCTGCTATATTCATTTTGTTCATTTTCAAGTAAAGTTTTGTATGCAGTAAGTCAAATTAAATTATATCTGAAGAGTCATAACTGTGGAGGTTTTATTTATGGTTAAATACCTTAGAGAAAATGTTTATATCCTTAAAATCTTTCATATTTTGATCATTACAGTGATGATCTTTATCAAGATTATACAAGATCATTGGAAAGTAATTGTGCAGGAGAAGAAAATTTTGACATTTCTTTATTAACAGATCATAGCATAAATTTTAATCCTCGCCATGTACAAGTGATATAGGTTTACAGTTTGTTTGAATAGAAACACTTGTAAAAACACTGTTTCTCTTCAACAGACCAAAAATAACTCAACAAAAAATAACAGTGTGCTTGTACATTTTATTGACAAAGAAATGAAGACCATATAAACACATGGAAGCAAATGGTCAGTAAGTTTAAGGTTCCATTTGGTTTGACCCACTAAATAAAGTGAATATCAAAAATAAATATCATATGTACAAGGTAACAGTCGTACAACTGAGCAGAGAATGTGCAAAGTTCAGTTTAAACTTTCACCAAGATATTTATCTGCCAAGACAAATCCACCACATTTGATAAATCCCTTTAACTTTGTTCTTGTGTGTTTTCAATCCGTCGTCTTCAAGTTCAGACATCTTTCCATTTTGAGCAGAGAACAAAAACACCCACAAGACGAAAGGGTAAAACAGAACCCAGAACAAGTGTGACATAGCGACACGATACAAAACAAAAGACAGAAGAAGAACTCGGACCAGAGTCTGAGAAGCAAGCAGAGCAGCAGCATTCATTTAGAGGAGAGGAAATCCTATGTAAAGAAATTGTTCTCTCAATTAATGAGAATTTCTCGTTAGTTCACAATAACTTTCTAAATTTCATGGAGCATAAATATGACGAGACTGAAGATGGTAAAGGATCAGTGATCCTCTTTGCCTGTTACAAGCTCCTGAATTTTTTTCAGTCTAAATTTTGTGCCCTCTCTCAGAGGCCTCAAACCATCAAGAAAGGCTTGATGGTTTGCTGAATGCATTTGGACAGCCAGCTTAGAGATGGTGGCAAAATTCAAACATATGTTGGGATGAGAAAGCCAACATGGCCATCAAAGTGGATAAGTGTTGGCATCAGAAGAGACTCGCTGAAAGAGGCATGTGAGGGATACCAGACAGAAAGTGCCTTGCACACACACTTTACCCCCCATTTGATAGGGACTGAGTGATATTTTAGGCTTACATAAGACAACATTTTGCCTGGTATGAGAGACATCTGAGACATCTGAGACATATGAGAGACATCATGCCAGATATTTGTTGAAGATTAACTAGCCTCATATATACCATCAAACCTAATCAATGGCTGAAGATGCACACTGATGTGTGTAGCAGCCAGTCATTGGGTCTGGTGAACGGTGCTCACCGTTTGGCCAAGCAACAATTTGTTTTGACTCAAATTTCCTTCTGCTGTCCATTCTGGACAAGCTAGGTCCCAGCAGGATTACCAATTGCTAGTCAGTATGTGTGAAAAAACAACTTTCTACTAACTTTCTACTTAGTCTTTGGTCAGTAATTGAATTTTCATGAAAAGTGATGGTCGTGAAGCCATGACGTTCATGACTAACTTTACCTGGTTTGATTAGTTGACCTAAAAAGGTTTCAGCTGCTTTGTCGCTGATATGGCTTGAAAACTGTTTTGTCACCACCAGATGACAATCGATTATCAACAGAATTTGATCATTTGACACTGAAACAAAATTGACATTGCTGTGCTCAAGATTCAAGCAAGATACCATCACCTCAACAAAAATATAATGCTTACAAAATAAAAGTAAATGATACAGCAACATCCACTTAACATTTTTAAACACCATAGAAACCCGATAAACCCGCTCAGTTTCTCAGCTGAGTGACATGTTCAGTGCAACAAGGCGTTAGTGTGTTTATAATGTGCGTGATTGCCTCATTTCCTATGTAGTTTTCCTTTATGCATTATCTCTCCTTTTGTCCTTCCCGTTTTGCTCTAATGTTGGACATGACGTTGAGGAAGAACTCATACCAGAAGAAGGTGAAGCCTGTGGACAGAGCGGCCTTCAGAAGGCTGGGAGCGAGGCCTTTAAAGCAGCCTTGGATGCCTTCCTCTTTGACTATTTGCACCGCACAGTCTATCAGGCCTGTGTAGGACCGCACCTGTACGGCAGAAACAGGGAATAATACCGACACATGAGATGAAGGTCGTTCGCCTCTACGCTTTTGGTTCACCATGAGGAGCCTACCTGTCCAAAGTGAGCGCGGGCTTTCTCAAAGCCGCCCACCTGCAGCCTCTTTTTGAACAAATCAAAGGGGTATGTGAGGGTTTTACTGATCATTCCCGCCCCACTGCCACAGATCAGGCTTCTCACATTTCCTGTAAAAGAAGGGACACACAAAAATGGTCTGCATGTGTGTGCAGAGCTAAAAAGCTATAAATAACATGGCTTAGCAGAGTCTGACATTGGTTTCTGAAAGGATTAAAGGGATTGCTCTGTAGTGATTGTATGAAATGACACACAGGTTGTGATTTTCATGACAAACCTCAGAAAATATACAGAAAAATAAGATTCATAATTAACCTGAAAAAAAACCAAACTATATATTCAAATTGATTAAATTTGAGGAGATCATCAAAATACAGCAAAGGTATAAAGTTACTACATTCACTTACAGTTACCTATTTTGTCTATCAGTACCTGTTCATCTCAGTAAAGTCGAAAATCACATATAATTTGTTACTCAATAAATTCATTGAAAGGGTTTTATCACTGAAAAGATCTGAAATACTAAATGTCACAATGAGCTAACTGTATGATAAGAATGTTTCTTCAATAAGAAAAGACTTTTTTTCCTTCTCAAAAATTTCCTCAGCACTTAAATACTTTTATTGATCTAAAATCTTAGTGTTTTATTATCATACCAAAAAACCGTGTCTTTACTGACCTCCTGAGTCTCTGGATTTAGGTGGAGGAGCCAACAGCTGCTTAAAGACATTGTAGAAGAAGAACTGCAGCCCAGCATAAGGAAACACTGCAATCAGGGCAGGAGACAGGCCGCGGTAAAACGCCACTGGTCCCTCAGAGCGCCACATCGTGGACACGGCATACCGCAAGTTACTGTAAACCTGAGGAGACGGGAAAGGGATTTGAATTGTAGACTTCGAATGCAGCGTTTAGTTCGAATTTCCTAAACACCTGACCAAAATGAGCTATAATGAGCACAGACTAAATTACAAAGGAAAAGCTAACTGAAGAATAATCAATATTATTAAACTTTTACCTGTTTCCTTTTTTACCAGATTAGTTTTTCGTCCAGATAGTGATCTGGAAATGATAAGTACAATAGAAAAGGGATAATCTAGTAAAAAAGACCTTAAAGTATCTTCTTCTGTTCTTCTACATTAGTAAAAAGAAGCCAATTTTTTATTTTTTTTTTAACATAACTACTCCTCTAAAAGATACGCTGATTAAATCAAAAATGTTTTTAGCTGACCACTGCAGTAAAAAGTAGAGTAATGTTCTACCTTGGGTTCTCCCTGAGCTGCGAAGCGTGTCCTCAGTGTGTCCAGAGGCTGGCAGGCCATCGTAGCAGAGCAGGCTGCCAAGCCGCCACAGACAAAATGAACTCCTGGAGTCCGACTGTCGTACGGCGTCGACTTGTGAACCATCTTGGTCAGAAACTCAAAACTGACAAACTGCAAGTTATAAACGCATGACCAATTAAATTTTTTTTTTTCTCCTGGAAAATGTTTATTTCAGTAGTGTTGACACACAGGTTCACATTTTTAATATTTACCTGGACAGCCCCAAAGCAGATGGAGAGGAGCTGCGCTGGAATGTGACCTTTCCAGAAAGCAGTGAGACCCTCCTCTGAGTAAATACTTCGGAATGCCTGAAATATTCCCCAATATTTTCCTTCGGGTCTTTGCGAAGACACACGCTCGATCTGCAGCTGAGGGGACAGAAGCTCCTGATCAGCATGTAATGTACACCACATGATTAGACTTTCTCCAGCGAAATTAGATGATGGTGATGCACATATTTTAGATCCTTGACATAATTCCACTGTGGAAGAAAAACAACACACTCAGCAAGATCACAATCCCGTATGAAAACAACTTTATTGTAATTTAATCTTAATTTCAACTGGCTGCATCTTTAACATTCCACCACCTGGTGCAGCAGTCATATTGCACAAACAAGAAGTAGATTGAAATTATTACCTGGAAACGGATTTTAATAACATCAAATGGGCTGATAAGTGCTCTGGTGACCATCCCACCAGCTGAACCAGCCAGGGCTGCCTCCTCTGGGGAAGGAGATCCACTCTGAGCACTGGGATCATATCCTACCATGTCTATACAGCCCTCTTATTAACACTGGGGAGAGGCAAAAAAATATACACATTTTTCATTTGGTCAAAATCTGAAGTGATTTTGTTGCGCAAGAGATTAGTTCTAGCAATCTCATTTACAATTTTACAACATAAAATTCATCATATGTGGAGGACAAAGAGAGGAAACTTGCGTCGAGCTAAGTTAGGCTAACAACACAGCAGCTGTTCAGGTTTCAAAAAGAGAGAAATACAGATTTTACCTTGCACTGAAAATCCTTCATTAATGGAACAGCAGACACACAGCGGCACAAATTCAAAACGAAAGAGACAACAGTTGCATTCGGGTAACTACAAACTATTCAGGATGCTTCCGTTTAGTACCACAGCGCATGCGCCGTATTTCAAAGCTGAACTATGACGACAAGATGATCGTCGCTCATACTGGAACAAACTGCCGTCTCTGCATTTCAGAATTTCAGATAAAACAAAACAACCTATTTCAGGCTCGGTTTCATGGTTTATTTTGATGGAAGAAACAGTAACCATGATTATTATTATTATTATTATTATTATTATTATTATTAAATAAATATTCATGTTGACTTCACAGGTACCAGTCTTGGGGAAAAAAACAAAAAAAAAAAACAATTCATTTATTAAAAACAGAAATTTATTTCAGTTTGAATACATTTTTCCCGCATATACAGTTTTTAATTTAGATTTTAATATTTTAATTACTTTAGTTTTACTTATTTCTTTAGTTATTTGTCAAATTCCTTTTTTAGCGATGTTTGTCTTTTTTTAGATTTGATAATAATAATAATAATAATAATAATAATAATAATAATAATAATAATAATAATAATAATAATAATAATAATAATAATAATATTATTAACGAATGAAAATGCATAAAGTTGAAAACACATCACGTGTTTTGCTCAAATAATACCAATTATGATTCTGTTAGCTGACTTTATGGCAAATTAAATTGTCTACTTTCTCTTCCTCCCTGCTGTCCTGTCTTTAAGTGTCTTTAAGCTTCTCTTCCGGAAGTCGATGCAGGCGAACTCCTTTGTGTCTACGGAAGGGCGGGATTCATCTTGAAGGCACTAGTGGATCTTCGACGAGCCGAGTAGATGGAAGTCTTCGCCCCTTGATTCAGGTGGTGAGGTCAGTCTAAATGCGTTAAATCTGTGCATTTTACCTCAAACTCTGTGATGTAAAGCTATTCAGTGAATTCATGTAGCACCTCGCTAGAGTTCAGATTTTTGCGTTTGAACAGTTTGTTAAGATTTGAATCTGATTTCCTTACTTGCCGTTAGCAAGGCTCAGCTCATCGGAAGCGCATACTGAGGTTATCAAAGTGTCCATCCACTAGAAAACAGCCATTTTTATTCATTTTAGAAAAGTCTATTCATAGTACAAAACAGTACCTTGCGCTAACTTTGTACATTCAGACGTCGCAGCTCAGATGACGTCGTTTTATACCAGGGATTTTTTTTGGCTAGCTTTTCAAAAATAAAGATTTTTGACATGTTTCCTTGCTGAGTTTCTATTCAGACATGTTTTTGCTGACCAGATCGAGCCTGAACCCTTCCTGTTCCTCAGTGAATGAGCTGAGTGGAGCAGCCAGTTTGATGACTCCACAGGATTTAGTGTTTTGTTGTCCCGGGCTTCGCATTGTGCTCTGGGAAAGACCTGTTGCAGTGACCTGTTGTTCTGATCTTTGCAGAGTGAGAGGTCCCTGGTGTAACCGTGTGCTTTTACCGTTTATTATGGAAAACTGCAGCGAGGACTATAAGATCCAGTCATTTGACGTGGACACACAGAAACTGCTAAAAACAGCCTTGAAAGGTCAGTAATTATCTCAATGAGTCATTATAAAACATTTTAAAATGCCCATGTCTATGTGGACAAATAACAAAAAAAATCAGTTGTCATAAGTTACTCTTAGACTTCTGCATGCATCTACTAAAAGCTCTCTGATTTCTTTCAGATCCAAGTTCTGTGAACCTGGAGAAGGTCTCCAACGTCCTTGTGGACCAGTCGCTGAAGGACCCCTTGTTCAGCAAAGAGGCTGGCCGGATTTGCTACACGATTGTGCAGGTCACAACTGACGGCTCTTTGGTTAATTTCACATTTTGTTCTTTTTTTTTTCCAGAATATTTGTGACAAGTGTAAAAACACTCCGCGATTTGCCTTCCACTTTTAAAATTACGGACACATTTGAGCGCCTGTAATATAATTGAGGAATTAAATTTTCACTTAATTCCTAGGCCGAGGCCAAGCAAAACAACGGAACCGTGTTCCGGAGGCACCTGCTGAACCGCCTGCAGCAGGAGTTCAAGGAGCGTGAGGAGACGAGGAAACGCTCGCTGCAGGGCTGGGTATGCTACGTCACGTTCATCTGCAACATCTTTGACTACCTCAAGGTATGAGCAGCGGACACTCTGTGTTCCAAATTTCATATACTAGATTAAAGATGCTTGTGTTAAACGGTCCACTGCATTACAGGAATTATATTTTATATTATATAAAGTCTCACAAGGAGTTGCCTTAAATACATTGCTTGACCGTTTCAGGTGAACAACATGCCAATGGTGGCCCTGGTCTTGCCTGTGTACGACTGTCTCATGAGGCTGGCCCAACCAGACGCTCTGCTGAACGAGGAAGAGGTGAGGTCACCACCATGTGTTTAAACGTATCTGGGTTGCGTGGAAATATTCTCTTTATGTTCTAGAAGAAGCAGTTCCTCACCATCCCCAGCATCTCCTGATTCTTTAGGTTGTGAGATCAAGCAACTTGAGTCGATCCTTCCTTGTTTTATGCAAGTGGGGGGAACTTCTTCTTCCTCTCCGCTGCAGGTGGACTGCCTGGTGCTGCAGCTGCATCGCATCGGGGAGCAGCTGGAGAAGGTGAACAGCCAGCGGATGGACGAGCTGTTCTTCCTGCTGAGGGACGGCTTTCTCCTGCAGGAGGGCCTGACCTCCATGGCTCGCCTCCTGCTGCTGGAGGTCCTGGAGTTCAGGGCCGGCGGCTGGATGCTCAGCAGCACCGCCCACAAATATTATTACAGTGAAATCGCCGACTGAGACGGGCGACTCGCGCACCTCGGACGCTTTCCTTTGGTCACCACTGATTACCACACCAGCAGCTTCTCGATAGAATGCGACATCTTCCGTGTAATCAGAGACTGGAGTGAGGAATGAGGATTTTTGGTGCGTCGTTTCCTGCGTGAGATCAAGGCTTGGAATGTAACGGATGTGAAATGTGCAATAGTTCGAAGCTTTTAGTTCTTAAGGTTTATGCCACATTCAGACAACCTTTGATTCAAAACTGACAAGTTCTGACATTTAAAAAAAAAATCTTTGTTTGCATTCCTGTTTTGTAGGAACAGTTTATCACATTTTTGAAGTTAAAAACAAGACATTCCAGTCAGATTCTAACTGATTTAATTTTATGCTATTGTTGGTATTGTGTTGGAATATTTGCAGGGGGCGTTAAGACACTTCCTGTGTGAAGTTCAGGAGTTTCTAAAAGACGAGTTGCTGTTGAGCAGCAGGATTCTTGTTACCGTTTGACGCGAGGCCGGTTCATCACTTGAAGCGCCGTCTTTATTCAGGGAGTTTTATTTCTTGTCACAGCTTCAGTTGGAAGACCAAAAGGTCGAATCCCTCACTTTCAAAACTTTTTGTTATATGTGTGTGTGTATATATATATATATATATATATATATATATATATATATATATATATATATATATAAACACCTTTTAATGTTTTGGATCAAAAGATTAGCTTTGTGTTGAAGTCGTGCCAACATTCTCTGAGCATCAACATTTTCCTAACGTCTGAGGGTTTCTCCTTAAATCGTAGGAAGTTGGGCTCTCAAAGCGGCATCCCTTTAAATCAGAGATGAACCAATCAGGCCACACAGGCCATTACTGATTTCCACATTTGATCTGATCTCTTTCTTGTTGCTTAGAACTATTTCACTTAAAAACTTAATCAATTTAGCTTTAATACTGGAGTTTATTGAATATTAGCTTTGTAGAGTAAAAAAGGTGCTGCAGATATGAAACAGAAAGTGAATGTTTCAATTCAGTATATTAAATTTGACACCTGCTATTTTTATCTCAATCTCTTGAGCTCAAAACAAAGGGGATAGTTTCGGGGTGTGTTTGAAGAACAAAAAAAAACGCTTAAGGTTCACCTCCAGATCTTTGGAAATCAACTGATGAGTGCCTCTTTTGATCCACTTATCAGCAGGTTGTTTTACCAGCAGAACATGGCTTCAAAGCTGAATAAGCTAAAAAAAATAATAAATACATTTTTGTAATATTTGACCAAGTTCAGTGGGTTTTGACCAATGTTGATTTATTTTAAAGTTGAAAACAGAGTTCGATCCGTAGCTCTGAACCTACATTTTCTAACAGAGGTCAAACGACTCTAGCTTAGCTGGTTTCAGGGTAATAATAACCTGATTTGTTTTTGTATTGATCTTTAGAAATTCCTGGTGTATTTGGTAAAAGCCTGCCTGAATGTTCAGAACTCATGGAAAATCATTTAAACAGGACAGGCCACAGGCCTGACAGCAGTTTATTTTGGTATTTTCCTACAAAGTGGCAATACTTTTACATTTCTCTGTTCTGTTTTTCTACTTGTTGTGTTGCATATTAAACATATTTGTTTTAAATAAATCCTTAAACTGTTTTCTCACTTCGGTCACATTTGTTGTCAAACAATTCAGCAGAGGTTTGACTCACGATTCAGTTCCTTTTCTACAAAATCCCATCGGTGAGTCGCACTCTGGTCTCCTGCCCACTGTCCCATCTCGAGAAATATTCCCTATTTACAACAGGACCTTGTCAATCTTCAAGGCATGTTGAGTCCAGCACTGCTTTCCGTCTACCACCAGCGGTAGTGGGCGTAGGCTCTGTTGGCCTCGGCCATCTTGTGCAGCTCGAGCTTCTTCTTGATGACGTTGCCCTCCTTTTCGAAAGCGGCGAGCAGCTCCTGGGAGAGCTTTTCATACATGTGCGTGCGCCTGTGTTTGTTTTCCCTGCACTCGGTGATCATCCACTTCATGGCCAGGTAGCGCTGGCGGTGGCCCGTAAGCGGGACTGGCACCTACACGGGATTGAGATGTGAGATTTATGAGGATTAAACCTCAAAAACAAGAGATGCAGTTTCACATGTTTTATGGGGCTGGGAAGGTTCTGCTCATATTATGCTTTTATGCTCATATTAGAATTTTATTATCAAGGTTAAATAAAATAAGCTAAGAAGAATAAAACAGGGAAGGAAACAAAGGAGGACACAAAAGTATGAATAGATGGACATAAGGAAGCGAGAGGGGAGGAAACAATATTTAGACAAACCTTAGAAATGTTTTTTTTCTTCATTGTTCTAATTGTCTTTTCCAAGCCAGAAAAGTAGTGAACTCACAATCTAAGCTTTTCCACAGGAACTCTTATTATCAACAAAAGAGCTTTATTGTGCCTTCTCACTTACTTGATAGTATTTTCCACCTCTCTGAATGCTGGTCAGAGCAACGATAGGCTTGCAGTTCTCCAAGGCCTGGTGAAAAATGATGTAGGGATTACATTCAATCCCATCCTTTTGCCCATCTGTAGCTTTGTGGTATTTCTCCACCTGCTTCCTCTTTATATTTTCCAGCGTCTGAGAAAAGCAAAAATAAGAGGTGTTAATTATTGCTTTGCCTGGAAACCAACAAGAGGTTATTTTGAAAAGTGTTTTTAATTTACCTGCATCATAATCTCTCTGGCCAAAGTCTTCTGTCCGTGTTTCATCATCATGTTGATGAATTTACTGAGAAGCAAACAGAGAAACGATTGGTTGACTTGAACTTTAAATACAGCTGCGGTTTTGTTCCTGAGGCTGTAAATCACCTGACGACAGGGTCGTTGAAAACGGAGCTCGTCATTGAATTGGTAGCAGCTTTGATGGGTCGAAGTATTTTCATCTCGCGCTCCTCCTTCTCCTCGGCACTCAGCTCGCTCTCTGGACGGCTGTAGGCCTCTTTCCTGACCTCTGGCTCCAGATAGTAAGGGTTGTATCTACTCCATCTCACCAAGAGCACTCTGCCCACAAAGAAAACGAGGAAGCACTGTTATTGTGTTTAAATGATCGTAAGACGGCCAAAAACTGAAAAATATGTACTGTCGATTGAAGTATTTTTACACATTACAATTAGTTTTAATAACTGGGTAATGACGGGTTGAAATTTATTCTTTCCATCGCTATAAGAGAAGACCCTGTGTATAGTAAAACTTATATTTCAACAAAGCTTGTTGAATAAACTAAACCCCTCTATACAGAGCAGTAAAAGTCAATTTCAAACAAATAAGTCATGAAATTTCTTGTAGATCTTTCATCCTAACTACCAATGCTCCCAACAAATTCAATAAGTCTCTATTAATCTGCCATTTGCAGCTTTTTTCAATTCAATAACATTCCTGCTGTTTACTGTATTTTTCGTTCTTGTCGGTAGTTTCTTTTTATTTTGTGCCTTTATCATTTCCTACTTGGCTGTACATTACATCTTGCCCCTACTGTGTAGTCTTTTATTCATATTTATTTATTATTTGTGGTAATATGTATGCTCCCACTCACCTTCCACCTGCTCAAGTAACAACTCAACTTCCCCACAGTGGGACAATAAATTATATTTCTATTTTATTCAGAAGGGCTAGGTACATGGCCGGGAGACGTTTTAATGGATCAAAATACTTATATTGTTTAAAATTGTTAAATGAGTAAACATTGCATCAATGTTGAAAAATAATATACAGACGGTGTGTAACCTGACAGAACACATGCCCTGTAACAAATACACCGGTGTTTATCTGGTCGCCGTTATTTTTTATTAAATTACATTAGCAAGCAAAACATGTTGAAACATTTTTGAAGTATCGGCTTAACCTCCCATGGTTTCCCATAAATTATACATAGAGAATGTTTAACTACGCACAGAAATTGCTTTAATACCGGAAAAAATGCTCTTGGTTTAACAAAGCGTTAGCTGCTTTCACAGCAAATCCCAAATTTAATATATATATAAAAAACAACAGAAGAGTCCGCATGGATTTGGTTAATATTTGCTTATATGACCGTTCGACGTCCAAAAAGTTAGATTTACCTCGGTGTCCAAGGTTTTAGTAATCCTGAGATGGAGGCAGCCATCTTGAAAACGTGACTGTCTTCTTCTTCTTTTTTAATGCCAGTGAGGTGGAAATATTTTAGCTCATTACCGCCATCAAGTGGTCTCGAGTGAGGAGACTGATACTAACGCGCCACTGAAAACTTAAACGGTAAATATTTTAATTTAATGATGTATTTCGAGTATCTCAATACAACTGAACTTTTATTTATTCTTTTTAACTGAGCTTCTCATTTCTAATAAATTTGATTTGTTCAGTGACAAAATATGAATAAAACAAACAAAAAAACCATGTTGATGTTCAGCATGAAAAGTATTTTATTATCAAAAATCACATTTTGATTCCTTGATTTTTATATACAATACAAAAAGAAAAGCAAAAGAAGAGCTTTGTTTTAAATATGTATCCTCCCTCATGTCTCCACGGTTCCTTCTTTGACGATAGCCATGGCCAGATTTCTGGCCAGGGAGAGTCTCAGGAGCTCCACTTTGGTCTGCTCCACATCTTCCTCCTGAAAACACAGATGTGCTTATTTAAACATCCAGAAGACAATACTTCTTAGACTGTAAAACATCTGGAGATGAAAGCTTTAGGCTCTCAGAGGACTAGTGTGTGCATCTTTAATGTCAGAGAAACTATCATTTGTGTAAACGTGATGATGAAAAGCCATCTCTACTGTTTGTTGTACAAGCAGAGTAAAAGTATACCTGCATTGGTCTATCTCCACCAGAAGCCGCAGTGTCTAGTGAGGAGGTCAGTTCCTCTAAACAGTACATCAACTCGTAGGTTTGGTCAGCAGAGAAGATCACCTGAAAAGAAGATATCAAGGTTATCTAATACTGTAAATTAAATAAAACTCTTATTTTAACTTCTCCACATCAATCTTGAAGTCAACAATTTAATCTACTAAATGATAGGAAATATAAAGTCTTATTCATGCAACAAGTATTAATCCACTTACTAAGACTTAATGTTGTAAGTAGCAAACGAAGGTAAAGTTGTAAAGTAGCAAGATGCATGTATGACTCATTTAACAAATATTGTGTGGCTTTAAGAAAATAATAAATAGTAATATTAAATTTATTAGCTGAACAAAACTTAACCAAATTTGTGTTTCCAGTTCTCAGAAGTGAATTTTTTTATTTACAATTTCTTATTATACCAAACGAAGTACATTTGTTACCCTTGTTATGATTGGGAGACAGAGAAAAAAAAATCCAGCTCAGAATCAAACTTAATATCTGATACTACATCTCTACTGGCGCAGCTCCTTGCATTCTGAACCATAGATCCAGAGTGTGCAGACATGCAGGACGCTGACTGACCTCCTTCTGCTCCAGCAGCGGCAGAGCGTCGGTCAACAGAGTCATCCAGAAGCTTCGGGGAGCAATTTTTGCCGTCATGAGCGAGAGCAGCAGCTTTGCGGCTTCCTTGAAGCGTTTCTCCCCGTACAGTTTGTGGAACTCCCTGTACTTCCCTGGTGAAAGAAAAATCAGGTGTTTAACATCTATTATGTGATATTTTTTTTCTTTTTCTGTGCTGTTGCAATTCTCTCTCACATTGGTGCATGTTGTGTTCGAATGAGAATCCAGGGAGATGTTTTACATGAAGTACCTTCTATACAAAGTTGAGATTTTAGAAAATCCATGTTTCCACAGAAGGGTTTATTTATAAATGGTGCCTGACAGGCTCAGTAATAGTGAATGCCACAGAACATTAGGCACAACACAGCTCCGATTTGATCATAAATAGGAGTTTCTTTGTGCGTCTCATGTGACCGCGGGAAATGTCCTGTCACAGTGTAGTGTGAAGACTGAACTTGTGAGTGACGCAAGTGTCTCAAAAAGGGATGTTTGATGAATGAAGGTGTTGGCTTGAATGTTCATACCGAGGAATGTGAGCCTGTCGCTGAGTAGCATTGCTGGACCCAAATTATCAATCAGATCCAAATCAGAAAAAGTCCCTTTGGCACAGTAATCCTGCAGGAACCTAAAGAAACAACAACATTGTCGGCCATGAAGATTTTTGAAAGTCATTATTGTCCATAAATGCAAAAATGTATTATAATCAAAAGTGCAATGCTTAAAGCAGGAACCTCTCAGAAATGAGGGTGGCAAAGGCGGCATCTTTGGCCCTGATGCTCCAGGACAGAGCAGAGCCCAGTCTGTTGTTCCTCAGAGCTCTCATAGCCATGATCTTACAGATACTCCGCACTGAAAGAAACAAAAGGAAGCATCAAGACTGAACTACACTTGAAAAGAAAATATAACTTTCCGTTTTTGTTTAAGTTAGAAGAAAAGGCAAAACGTTACCTTGCTCTGACATCTGCCTCTCCTCACAAATTCGGAGCACTTTGAGTGCTTTCCGTTCCGTGTCCAAAGGCACGCGCTCAATCTGCAGCTCGAGGCAAGCTCTCCCCAACTCCGGACAGTGGTCGAAGTAATCCACAGCGCACTGCCAAAGACTTTCAGGGTAGCGATAGACATTTGAAATATATCAAAAAGCATTTTATTTATGTGTTATGTGAAGAACGGAGATAGTAAGAAGAATATGAGAGCAAAGACTGAAGGAAATAAACAATGGGAGAGAGAGCAAAAGGAAGAAGCGTACGAACTTTAAGGTTGAGACTAAACATACCTGTGATGAGTGAATAAACCTGAAGCATACTCTAACAGGAGGAACTCCCTCATATTGGACCCAAAGCTGAACACAAAGAGAAGTACATCCTAATATTAGACCAATAATGTGTGTAAACTTGTCATCTCCGAAACAATCTCACACCACAAAGCATCCATACTTTAGATTATGAGATTGGAGGAGTTTGCAGTGATCCAGCAGGTCTGTGAAATGAGCCACAAACCACCAGTTGTTGAGAACAATGCTGAGGAAACAAGAAGTTCATAAAAAGTCAAACTTCTGAATGGTTTGGTTAAGTTCTGTAAATCAATATAATGTCAATCTCTCACCTGCAGTCCTTGATAACCAGATAAATGTCAAACTCAAAGGCGGCCAGTAGGATGCTGTCTAGAGGCTCCTGGACGCTCCTCGAATCCAGGAACATCGTCAGGCACGACTGCAGCGACCGCAAACACACAAGTACCATGAAACAACCACACAGCGGCAGGAAAAAACTGTGCCAAGCTGCATACAACTGGCTGTACCTGTGCATAGTAATGCAACTCAGTCGGTTTCACTGTGGGGTGGCTGTAGAGCAGCCGAGTCACAAGGAAGTGATACCAGGTGCTGAGCAACTCCTTCTGCTCCAACAGAGTGTCTTCATCACCCACCAGGATCTAAGAAGGTGACAAATCATTAAGAAAAAGGATGAAAAATGTATTTCAGTTTGATAAATGGAGGAAACTTAGGAGCATTGATGTGCATATTGTTAAACTATCTGCATACATCAGCTCAAGAACAGCCAGTAATCTAATTTCTCAGAATATTTTAACAACTATTACTGAGGGATCTGAGTGAAAAGGCCCAATGTGTGCACTCTGACCTTACAAATGAGCTCTAGGTGGCGGTTGCTGGCAAACGTGTTGTCCTTGAGGTAGTGATCCACCTCCTCATGCCAGTTCCTCCACTTCACATCAAACTCTGTTATTGTCTGCGTGCCGCCAGGCTGAAGGCAATAGTACAGAAAATAGTACAGAAAATGACTTCTGTTTTACTGATAGAAAGAAGTGAAAATGAATAATAAGCTTCTCGAATTTCTGCACAAACAGGAATTTTGCTGAAGAATACAATTAAGTTTATTTTTTACACCGCACTGTTCGGGTTCATAAAGAACTGAAAGACTGAGATGTTATTAACCAATAACATAGCGCTGCTATAATTTCAATTTCAATAACAGACAACACACACGTTAACTCCTCACTGGGAAAGTGGGACAATTCGTAGTGTTATACTCAACATACAATATGTCATATTGTTCTTACGTTGTAAAAAGGCATTTTGCTGAGTAAGCTATCCATCAGCTTGTACATATTCCGGGAGGCTGGCTGTAGTGTGGCCTGCTTCACCAGCATCTGTCTGGCTTCTTCCAACCTGCCCTGCAGAACATAACTCACCACCTGCACACACAACATGTGAGAATTGCAATTTGACTGTGCTTTTTTTCCATAGAAAAGAAAAAAACAAGTTTGCTAGCTACCAAAAAAAGAAAATCACCACACCTTGAAGCAATTAGCAAAATCAGACCTGGCAGAGTTTGTTCTGTACGTACCACATCCCAGTAGTTATGGTGCTCTGCAGGACTGTCGCTCTGCAGCACATCCTTGGCCTTCTCGTCAACATCAGCCTTGTGCAACCTTACCCAGTCCAGAAGATGAAGCAAGAGAGAGCCAGCTGGGAATGAGCAAATAGTGCAGTGTTGCTATAATTTCAAAATCTCTAAATTGGAACAAGCTGTTTCACAACAATCAATCAATCAATCAATCAATAAATAAATAAATAAATAAAAATTAGCCCTACCAGGAGCAGCGTCAATAAAAAGCACTTCACACAGATTCCAGATCAGTTCAATGGCCAAAAGAATAGAAACCTGTGATAAGAATGGGAAAAAAGCAGATGTTAGACAAATAAAATCACAAACATTAACACCTTAAAGGAGGTAATATGTGGAAACCAGGTGTTGACATCTGTCTATTTCCTGCTTTTGGTCAGTTGGGATTACCTGTCATTTCTATTTGCAAAGTGCCAGAACATAACACATCAATTTGTGTCTCAAACATTTTGAAAATCCTTCTACAATCTTCACACAATAGTTTGCTTAAATTCTGGTCCATTCCTCCAGAGCTGATGTAATTGGGGCAGATTTATAAGCCGCCTTCATCACACAAACCTTTTTATATCGGCAGCAAAACACCCACTCAACATGATGCTGCCACCACCACCCTACTTCACAGTTTTTGAAGTAAAAATTTTTCATTTGCGAAACTAAAACTCTTTTTTTTTTCTTAAAAGAGAAAATGAACATTTTAACAACGCATAATGAAACAACCCAGTATATATTAAGGCTACAAATTCAGCTGATACATGCCTGATTTCCATATTGTGTGCCCATTTCTGTATCTCTTGTAGAAACTGCAAAAAAGATAGAAATAAAAAATCCAGTTAGTGGGTTTCAGGATAATATGTAGACAAAACTGCTTTAAAAATGTGTTCACAATGTCTTACCTGCAACTTGCTGAAGTTCCTCCATACACGCCCGAATCACAGATCTGTAGTTTCTACTGATGCTGACGAATCTGTAGAACGTGACACATGTGTTTCATACTTTATATTGCAATTCATATAATTACTTATATTTTTTGACTCTACATTGAGAGAGGACTAAATAAAAATAAAAAATCTATATAGTACTTACTGAGGTCTTTTGCTCTTGTTGGGGAGGTCATCTTTGATTGTCTGCAGTCCAACGAAAATGTGATGCGACTCATTAAACAGTTTGCGTAAAATAGGAGAACTTATGTCCTCATCTTTCCTGACTTTGTGAATGAAGGAGCCACCTGGGCCTGACAGTGTAGAACCTGTAGGACATGATCCAAAGAGGTAAAAAGACAAGCAAGAGTGTGAAAACCTACCGAGAAGTATGGCTTTACAGCGCCTTGTAAAATTAGTGACACCCCTTTAAGTTTTACACATTTTCACAAATGTCTGTTTATGTTATATGACATGGTAACACAAATTAGTGCATGGTTGTAAATGAAAAGCACACATGGTTTTCAGCATTTCTTGCAAATAAAGATATGAAAAGTGTAGCACAGATTTGCATTCAGGCCCTGAAATCTGATACCCTACCATAAACTGGAATGAAGTGCTTTTAGAGACATAACCCCCATAAGTTTTCATATGCAGATGTGGTTAAAGGGGGATATACAAAGTATTGAAAAACATCAAACTTACCTGAAGGCTTAAAATGTGTCTCATAAACAAGGATATCTCCAGGACCCCAGGCAAATCCCATATGCTTCCCATGTTTGATTCCTGGTATATTCTGTATTTAAGCAACATATAAATATTAGAACTGTGCAGAATCAAGAAGTAAGCCTTTAGATGCAATGCTTGCCAAATGTTTTCCCAGTAGAACATAAAAAACAGCATTCAAAAACGGATTTTGCACTACTTCTTTGTTAAACATATTTCTTAGAACAATTAAGCTTTAAGAGTTTTCAAAACTTTGAACTGCTTATTGCACTCGTTATTGGTATTTAGCTTTCCAACTATGTTTTCAAATAACAAAGCAAACAAGTATTTACCTTGAATACACATTGCACTTTAAATGTGTCAGCAAGCACAGATTAGTTATGTTAACAAGCATTGGCATTCATGTTTACTGTCTAAATCCAAAACGGAGTATCGATATCTAGCTAGCTTGTTAGCACTAAAATGCTATCCGACTGATATGAGCAGGAACAAACTAACCTACAAAGATAACTTACAGTGACCGTCGGCTCGACGTCTACTTCCTCCATCAGGGAACAGTACCTCTGATCTGTTACGTGTCTAAATAGCGAATAATTCAGCTATATACATACTATTAAACACATGTGGAATGTTATCCCTTTTCCGCGCCTCTCGTTCACTAATAAGCCGCTGGTGCGCATGCGCCAAAGCCAAGGCTGCCTTTCTCATGCCTGATTTTCCCTATCGATCGTGTCCTCAGGGATGTTTTTTTTTTTTTTTTTAATCCCGCAAAGCGTCAACGCAGATAATCGTGATACCTTAGTTCCAAAGAGTCTGGCTCAACTTCAAGATAGGACATAAAAAGCTTAATGTATGTTAAGTTATTAGTAATCGAACAAATTTGCAACAGATGTGGACATATAGGAGTGTCGCTTTAAGTTGATCATTCAAATCTTGTTTAGAAGGTGGAACAAAATGGCCATTAGAACACAGTGTGAAAACAAGCATAACATGTTCCTTTTCCCTGCACATTTATGACACTGACTAATGATCTGGACTGGCTACTGCAACACATATGTGTGACTAGCAGCGTGATGAGACGTATTTTGTGGCAAATATGTGCATGTAAACCGAGAAAGCGAAATTAAGCGGTGGGAAAACATCATTGTGCGCGTGCACGCGAAGCAGAACCTCTGTGACGCGCATGTGGGACTCTCCCGCCCATGTAAATGACTGCGCTTCAACCCTCGTGACCACCCGTAGCCACTAAACGCAGGGTGAGGTGAACGCGCACCGACACAGGGTCGCGCACGTCGGTCAAACTTATTTAAACGGGCACGAGTACGTGCGCGTACCCGTATTCTTTGTGTGGCAGCGTAGAGAAGCGCCAAAAGAGTGACCATGGCTGATGAAAAACCAAAGGTGAGTCTTTCTGCTGTTTTGCCGAAAATTACAGCGTGTTTTACCAGCGGCGTGATTTAAAACCTTAAAGAAAAACGCTACAGTCCGGCACTTTCCATTCTGGCTGTTTGGAAAGTTGCACCCTTGAATTTGAACTATCAGCTATACCTACTTTGATAGACCGGAAGGTATGGGAGCGCGCATCATTCACGCGCGCATGTCGTTTTTTTCTTTTTTTTTTTCCTGCTTGGTAACTCAGTGTGGACCAGATGGTATCATCCTCTTTATCGTCAGGTTGCTCGTAAATGCAAAGCAGTTTGTTTCTACTCTGAACAGAAAGGAAGGAATAATGACAATAAATTATATGATATGAAATGAAAGTACAACTGCTGCATTTGTGAGTGACATAGTAGACATATACGGGTGTTTATAAACGCTACAGTTTTGATACAAATTGAGATTATCAGCACATGGTAATTTTGTTTTGCATTCTGTTATTACACAAACTTTATTTTACCATATAGTAAAATATGCAACTTGATTCATAACAACAGCAAAAATAGATGTCTGCCTCTCTGTGGGCTTTTGGTCCAAATGCCTAATGATTTTACCTCTGTTTTTATAATTATTTACAGTCCCTTGAAAAACTATTTATGCCCTTTTGTTCTGTTTTATAGAGTTGTCAGCAAACGGTTCTCTTCAGAAGTCAACTAATTTCTACAGTCTACCTTAGTGTAATTTATTGTCAGAGTAAATATTGCTTCTCTGTAAAGCCTTAGGTTTTACAGCAATAGAGAACAATAGTGAATATGTATGAAGACTAGGGCTTAACAACTTTAGAAAAATGTTAGGATATATGATATTAAAACCCATATTTTCTTCGCTCATCACAAGTGCCCTTCCATTTTCCCCAAGTTTTCTGATTTGATCTACATCATTTGCTGGCATAAAGAATGGCTTATTCAGCCCAGATTACCAAATGTTGCATGATCTAAGCAGTCTTGTGTCGTTCCCATACTGCAAATACGAATATGTTAATAATTGCGATTTGATATAACGTGTAGCTTTAGAAAAGACCAGAAGACGCACAAGTCATTTTTGAATTAGGATTGTGGAGAAGTGTAAAACAAGATTAGGTTTTAAAGTATAATCCCAAGTCCAACCAGACCAAAGAGCGACAACTAAAACAGAATGGTTTAGCAAAGCATTTTTGATATATTAGACTGACCCAGTCAGATTCTACACCTAAAGAGAATCTTTAGCAACAGTTGAAAGTTGATGTAAACAGATGTTCTCCATCCATAATTATAAACCTGGAAGAAACGCAGGTAAATATTTAGTCTCTGGAAGTGTAAAGCTGGGAGGTTCATACCCCAAAAGACTTGTAACTGCATCATAAGATGGTTTTAAACATTTCAACTCAGAAATAGCTGAACAATCTACTCCACACTTTTAGACTTCTATTTAAAAGCTAACATTTAAAACCTTGTATCATTAGCCTTCCCACTGCAAACCTGAGTTGGAAGGCTAATCATGCACCTGCTCTGTCTTATTAAAACCCAATACACAACTTTTACTAACAATGTCTCTCAATTCCTATGTCTCACCTCTTTTTTTCTGCCCTTTGACACAGGAGGGCGTCAAGACAGAAAACAACGAACACATAAATCTGAAGGTAGCCGGACAGGATGGATCTGTCGTCCAATTCAAGATCAAAAGACACACACCGCTCATCAAACTCATGAAGGCTTACTGTGAGAGACAGGTGAGCAAATAGCCTCTCGGATCCAATAAATTGTGCAGTTGATTTTTATTACCAGCAATTCTCAACCAAAAACATGCAATCATACGATCGTTTACATTTTTACCCAGAGACTATTCACAGATTTTTCGTATTACATGCATGTATATTTAATACTGGGGATTATCATTTACTGGATTATTTCAAACTACTGGATGTCATTTAATGTTAACATTAACAAAGATTCACAGAAGTATTCTGGTTTTTGTGTCGATGTTGAAGCCTGTGAGGTGCTATTGATTTATTTATCTGCACCTGGACTTTTGCCAGTATATTAAAGCATTTGTCATGAATGAAATCACAATGGAGAAATGTTGAGACAGTAAAGTGATTATCGTCTGACTGACAGCCAGGATCATCAGGTTGTAAGCGTTGTGCAGGGTTTTACAGAAACCACATCTCTCAGTTCAAGGATAAACATAGGAACTTCTTTTGTTTTAGAACACCACAACAAGAATATGTGTTTGCCAAACTTGTTTCAGAAACTAAAACAGTTTTGTTATAATATTTAACCTTTGCACGACACACAAGGCACTTATTCACTATGAGGTAAAGGTTCTAGTTTGAAATGTTCAATAATCATGTCAAAATATATTAATAAAAACTTAGAATGAAGGTTTCCATTCACTTTAACTTACTTAAGTAAGAATGAGGAACCATTAAGATTTGAAAGCCATCATATAGTAAAATATGGTCATATCTGATGCACTTTTCTGTGTTTACAAATACAGAAAATTAAAGCCATGAAATGGTTGATCCATATTTTTATTTAAATAGTAAACCATTAGTCTCATGCTTTATGTCTCTCCTTGTGTATATCTGAAAAGGTTCAATCTAACATTTGAACTGTCTCTTGATATTTCTGAAAGACATTTTTGTTATTGACCTCAGTTTTAAATATCAAGTCTGAGTAGATTTGTTTTTATTCATCCCTTTATCAAAAATGATGTTGGTCGACCTTTGCAGCTGTCACAGCTTCAACTCTTTACAAAGATTCAGAAATGTATTTATGGAACTTTTGATAATTCTTATAGAAATGCAATTTTAAGGTCAGCCACTGATGTTGGACAGGAAAATCTTGGCTCACATTCTCCACATAAATTCAATCCAAAGGTGTTCTGTTGAGGTGAAGCCAGTTTCCTCCACACCAAACTTCCTCCTCCGTATCTTTAAGGACCTTTCTTTATCCACTGCATTTCAGCCATGTTGGAAAAGGAAGGGGCCATCCCCAGACTATATTCACATAGTACGGTGCATGAAATTATTCAAAATATATTTGTGTGGTGAAGAGTTAAGAGTTTTCTTTATTGCAAGTCAGATGCCAAGTAAACATGTAACCCTACAACAGTTGCATTTTTCTCTGACCGGCTATCTAGTGAGTTGTCACAGTCTAGAAAGTAACGGTGGTGTCCTAATCTAAACCTGCCCAGTTTTTTTTTTTCATATCACTAATTAGAAGTTAGGAGTATTTGAGCCTCATGAATAAAATAACTTGTTTCAGCTGCAGTTGTCATGCAGAAAACTTGACACAAACAATTCAAAGCATCAGCAGAGATGGTTAACATAAGGAGAAGGGAGTTGTCTTTGTAGTGAAAAAGTATAAAAATTTTTGAATAAAAGACCATAAAGAGTTCTTTGTCATTGAACCAGGTTAACTATCTTAAATGCTACCTCCCATTACTATTATGTTTCACAGAATTGTATTGTGCTGGGTGAGCTGACATGAATTATTCTGCTTTGCAGAGCTTCGAGTCATTTGCCTCTACAGTGACGATGGAGGCAGTTTTTCCATGGTTGTTACTGTGTAATTGTGAAATCTTTGGGAATATGGAACTAATACTACTGAAGCAAAATTAGGCAAATGTGTTGTTTGATGCAAACCCCACCCACTAGCAGCACATTTATTACATTGTTTTGTGTTTATCATAGTAAAATATCGATCTGCCTTTTAAAGCTCTTTGATTAATGTCTTAAGCTATTGTATGTATATAGGATGCAACTTAAGCAAGACCTGCTAATGAGGAATTGCAATGTGAGCAAGTTTTTTTATGCCTTCCCAGGGACTGTCGATGAGGCAAATCAGGTTCAGATTTGACGGACAGCCAATAAATGAGACAGACACACCAGCACAGGTAAGTCTGAAAGACTACCAGAATAACTCAACCATCTGGAGCATTTATTGAATAAAGAAAGAACTGCATAGTGAGCTTGAAGGGGGTCTTTTTGCAGTGATATACAAGTCATTACACTTTGATGAATAACAAAAAATCAACACATCTCTGCTCTGGCACACTGTGTGGAATAAAGACCAAATATTTATTGCTAACCAAAACACAAGCTTTTTAAAATAAATGAACTGTTATTTTTTATTTTTTTTTGTTTTCCACCATGTTCAAGTTTATAATGTAGTTTTGTTTATATTATGTTTAGTAATATAGATATTATTATTGACAAGTCATGAATAATTATTACATTGCTTTTATTACATTTCCTGTTAAGAGTATATTATTGTAGTCTTGATTTTCATCCGAGGATTAAAGTATCCAAATACACACAAAAAAACTAAACAATAAATAAATCTTCATAAATCTAATTGCTAGACATTTCTTTGGGTTGCAGCCTGTCCTCCATTCTTTCTTTGTTCGGGTCATGGGGTTGACATGATGAGCTTTAACGCCTCAGGCAGTGGGAATGCACCAAACTCACTCTCAGTTGGTCTGTTATGTTGAATATGTCTGCAGACATATGCCAGTTACATTCAAGACAGTTTGTGGTTGAGGTCGTCATAAATCATTATTGTAAATGTTTGCAAAGTGAGGCAAGTCTGTCATTGCGTGGTGTTGTCACGAATGGCCAATGCAGCTTGCTGGTTCAGTGGTCAGCATTGCTGTTTGATGTCTGCAGACCAAAGAATTGATGTTGTGTAGGGCAAAGGGTCACCCTGAGGCCACACGCTACATAAATGCAACCCTTTGACATTTGGCTTTTGCTCTCATGTACTGTGCCTTAGCGCAGTTTATACACAGTTCCTTTGAAATCACTTGAAGCTTTTCACATCTTGTCACCATAATATTACCAAACATAATATGTTCTATTTATTAATTTTATTTTCAACATAGACCCAGCTATTGTGTGATGTCTCAAAGGTTTGTTAAAGAAGACTGGAGAATAACCAGCATTACGAAGACCAAGGAACACATCAGACAAGTCAGGGACAGAACTTAGAGAGAAAGCCAGGTTAGGTGATAAAACAATATCCCAGAGCACTATTTAATTCAACATCTGTAATTGAAAACAATATGGCACAAGTGCAAATCTGGCTAGCCACTGAAATTGATAGGCTGGGCTAGAGGAGAACTAATTTAAAAAAGCATAAAACATACCTACAATAACCCTGGAGCAGTTAAAGAGAATAATCCACTACTTCTCCTTCTCATGTATTTGTGCAAAACGTTTTCAAGAATATGGGAACGTTTTCAAGAATATGGGAACCAGATTACAGCTCATGTATAAGAAAATGTTGATAGGACAACTACTCGTCACACACTCCACTGACCTTAATGGAAGACTTTCATTGTGGAAAGAAAACCATAGAAGCTGATGAGAGCTGATGTGATGGAGCTAAAAATAAGACAATCATAGAAGAAAACTTGTTAAAGGCTCCAAAAGACTTTAGACTCCAGAGGAAGTTGACTTTACAGCTAGAAAATGACTAATACAACCCAGAGCTGCAATAGATTATTTTAAATCAAAACTAAAATATTAGTTTTATGACCTAGTCAGAGTCCAGACCCAAATCCAACTAAAAATCAGTGCTAAAACCTCTGCTTTGTGTTTACCTGCTGCATAAAAACCTAAAAAAAATAGAGGTTTTACATTGCAGTAAAATGAAATTCATGTGACACACATTTAAATCTTCACAGTTGGAAATGGAAGATGAGGATACAATCGACGTGTTCCAACAACAGACGGGAGGTCTGATCTAACCAACCACAGCTGCCACCTTTTCGCTTCCAACATGACCGACTTCCCCGGCCCGTTCACACCCAGCGGCTGGCTCTTTGCAACTCGTCTAACAGTCTCAACTTAATTCTTGCAGAAGAGGTTTTAATTTCTCTGCTTCACAAAACTGCTGTAAAGAATTTCTATCCATGACCCCCTGTTACTGTTTTTGTCTTTGTACATAAATTACACCCTGAAAACATTGTCTTCTTTTTTTTTTTTAAGTTTACTTCATGCTGTGTTGTGGTAAATTTGTCAGAGTTCCCATCCCAGTTTGAAGGGTTCATTCTGCATACACTCAGAAAGATATTCAGGGCAGGTAAAAATGAAAGTCATCTGAGCTGATTAAATACCGTTGTGCTAGGCTTGGTAATTGTCTAGCAAATCTGTTCTTAAGCTTTTCAATTTTGGGACCGGCTGTCACTTGGTGAGCAGTGCACCCACTTTGGGAACATGACTTGGTTGCTGTTTAACTCTGTAATCAGATATTAAAAAAAATATTATATACTTTTTATATTGAACTGGATGTTAAGAATACTCACTTTACTTCACCACTTCAGACTTTGGGAAGGTTGAAGGGATATTTCAGTTAAATATACATCTGTATTGTTTATTAAAATGCTTGTTAAAATAAAGTTATTGTCTTTTTTTTTCTCCCCCTTGAAGGTTTACTCTTTTGAACACATTTTAAAATCTAAGAATGAAATTTCTATCAGGAATTTAATTCACGTTTGCATGTACTCTTATTGCAGTGAATTGTATTATTTGCATTTCAGGTTAAAATATTTATTTGAGTGGTTCCACGGTTTGTGAACAGTGTTACAAGTACCACTGGATCCTTCTTTTGGTACTTTTGCATAAGTTATCTGTGAGGTAAAGACAAACAAATTCACTACATCTCTAGTTCCAAGAAGAAAACGACCTTTGTTTAATCAGAAGTGCAGTTTCAAGAGATATTGTTGCCTCAAGTGGACCAAAGTGAAGCAGAAGCCAGAACAAGTGACTTCTTGTCTGTTTTTGACATTTGAAGTGGAAATTTATGCTTTGTATTTTTATACACAGTAGGGCCATTCTTGGTTTAAAAAAAGCTTGAATATTAATGGGTTAGTTAAATTCCATGAGCCACAAATCATTTTTTACTGAAGCAATCTACATTTTATGTGCAATGCAGCCATACACCCCCTATATGCATTGTGTATTCTTTCATCTCATCTGCAGTTAATTTCAAGAACCCTGTTCTCTTTAGGGGCACAATTTCGAGTCCAACCTAGAATATTTTGACAATCCATTGAGTTGCATATATTTAAACTTTCCAAAATAAAGTTTTTCAAATGGTCAACTCAGCTTGAAAAATTCTGTTTTTAACAGCATTTGCCTTGCAACTAATTACCAATAGCATAAATACACACTCATACACTCTAAAGACAGCCCAAGTACCACCAACTGGCACTTGTACCAGAGTTTGAGAAACCTGGATATAGAATATGGCCTCAGGGATGTGGGCTGCCTTGTCACTGACGCTTGCCACCATCAAGAGGTTTGACCGTTGCACCTCTTGTCCAATGAGAGTGAAGTACTGGGCTTTCACATCCAATCAGAGCGCGTGATTTGACTGGTGGGCTGGTTCTAAACGCCTGGCACCGCAGAATCAGCGGATCTGCTTTTCGTATGTTTTTTTCAGTCTCGGGTGGAGTCTACATCCCGTCGCTTCTTTGCGGGCAACGAGGGAGGATTTCTTTTTTTTTTTTTTTGTATTAGTTTGACTACCGCTTACAACCCGCCAAGACATTGAAAGCAGCTCCTCGAAGATGACGACGACCACCACGTTTCAAGGGTTAGACCCCGGTTCTAAAAGCAGTTCCAGGTAAAAAGAAAGAAAAATGACCTAAAACAAAAAAGGGGCAGTTGAATGTCTTCCATGGAGGAACAAAAGGAGTGGGATGCGGGGAGAAGCCGTTCGGCTAACAGACGCTTCTTTTCTGGCTTCGTTTAAAAGGCAGCTCGCTAACGGTGCTGGTGAAGGATATAACTGGATTGAGCTAAACTGTCACATAGACTTGCTAATTGAGTTAATCTTATTGGGTCGCAGAAGCACCATACCCTTTAGCCACCATAAGTTAGTTTGGTTAGCCTGCTGTGTAGGCTTTGGGAATGATAGTTGGACAAAAAAAAGAGAAAGAAAAGCGAGATTTTTCTCTTTTTCGTTTGAAGAAGTGGACAAACCTTTCTGAAATCTGTTTGTGTTTTGAAGTTTCAGTTAAAATTTTTCTTAATTCCTAAATGTGTGTCTGTTTGAAGCTACAGTGTTTTTCCCTTCTGTATTTTATTTTTTTTTTTCAAATTCTTACTGGTGTATTTTGACTGCTAAAGTCGGAGCATGTGACTGACTAGACTTTTTGTCTGCATGTCTTTGTATTTGATGTGATCTAAGTGGAAGAAAAATACGTCATTTATTCTTGATAGCTTTTTTTCTATATAAATCTTTGTTTATGAATGCGTGCTATTTTTGTGAAAAAAGTTTTTCTTTTAGAAAAGAAACACCTCATCCTTAAAGCATGCAGTCATCCCTTTCCTGTAAGTGATGCATGTCTGGATGCATTCCTCCCCCTTTGCAGTGAAAAGATTTGCTACCTTTCTTTACTTTTCTATGGCTTCAGGGTGCATATATCTATCTAAATTTTGTCAATAATTTTGGGAGTATACTTGTCTGGGGTGGGCTCTGAGATTGCAAGCTGCTTTTGGGTGATGCAGGGACTTGGGTGGGGGCTAACTAAGCCTGCAAATCTTATCTTAGCTCTTTGCTTTTGGTCTCTAAAGTCCCCCTTTTTTTCTTTCAATCCGCTGGTCATTTCTGTGGCTGTGTGTCCAAAAAAAAGACAGAAGGGGCAGTGAGTTTAACGAAGAGGAGAGCTCTAATCTTTGTAGGCCATCGAAGACCCTCCTACGTCCTCTACCTTATCAGAGATACCATCTTTAGCTGTGGAGTTCCTGCATTTGCTCACGAAATTGCCCTCTTGCTCCCAAGCAGTTGATAATTTTATTGATATTATTTGCAGTTTGGGTCTTGGGTGGGGTCATCTGCCATGTTGCTAACAGCTTTCCCCTCTCTCATCACAATCCATGTGGAAACCATGAGCTCATCCTCTTTTGGCCTGGAGGTAAAGTCTGGTTTAGGCATTATTGTCGCAGCCGTGTGTGTGAGGGACGAAGAAAAAAAGGGGGAAATTCAGTGAGGAGTGGTGTGCAGGCATGACTAGTTGATTTCCTTTGTATGGTTTGAGGAGGTGAGGTGTTTGTTGGGCTCCCATCTGCCTGCTTGGCCTTTTGGACAGCTGCTCTGTGTGTCAGCTGGTGGCTTCAGGGTCTTTAAGGAGAGGAGAGTTTGCTAAAAGAAAAAAAAAAAATGTGGGAGGGGTCCGACATGGGCTGTGCAAGCAGATTGGTATCGCTCATCCACCCCAACTGTCACAGTAAACTTTGAAGGCGTCTCTGAAAAGTGACCTTTGCTTTTTCTCATGTGTTGAACTCATAGATTTCCTATAATTTATCAACCTTCTGCTATTGCTTTTTGCTCTTGGGTTTTGATCCAACAGAAACACAAATTTTGGGTAAATCTCTTATGAATAACGATGAACTCCTACACATTTTGTGTCAGTTGAGGAAATCTGTACTAAGATGAAGCTGCAGCTAGCTTGCTAAGTCTGCGATTAAAGGCAAGCGGAGTCAGCTGCAGGGCAGAGATTGTGACTGACTGACTGAGCGGCTGATAGCCGCGGCTTAAACTCATTGGTTGCTCTTTGTGTTTGGTATTCTTACGAAAGGGAACGGGGGGGTCTGACTATCCTCATGTTTTATTTGTTTATTGAGTCATTGATTTTTGTGCAGCTGGTTTTTGTTTGGAATAGTTACGGCCTTCCATGACTATTTTTACAGTCTGCTTTTAATTCCCAAGGGTACTACGGCCGCCTGGTGGGGAGTCCAACTTCTCTCTTGGCTCAGATGAAAACTCAACCCCCCAACGGAAGAACAAGATGGCCTCTAGCATCTTTGCAGAACCCGAAGATCCCCATGCTCATCGAAGAAACAATCCACCAAGTAAGTTGATCGACCATTGCTCTAGTTTTGCATAAATCTTAAACAAAGATGTGGGAGCAAATGCAGTATATTACAAAAGTGTTCATAGCCTTTGAAAAAAATTTTTTTGTCATTATAACCACAAAATACAATGTATTTGACATGATAGATCAACTAAGTACTGCATTACTGTGAAGCGGAAGCAACTGACACCAATGTATGTGCACAAATAAAATCTGGAAAGTGCGTTGTGTATGTTTTCAGACCCTTTGAGTCTTTTTTTTTTTCTTTTTAGTAGAACCACCAATAGATACAATTACAGCTGCAGATAAATATTTGGCATGCCTTTTCATGAAGAGACTCAAATATTTACAAATTTTTCTTAGCAAAACAAACTCGGGGAGATTGGACGAACAGAGTTTGTGAACATCAATTAAGTCTCGACTTCAACATTTTGACTCATTTCATTATGAATTGTTTTCCTGCTGGAAGGTAAACTTGAGGAAACGGATATTTCCAGCTGTCTTCCCCTCTAACTTTGACTTGCTTCCTTGTACCTGCTGAAGAAACGCTTCCCCACAGCATGTTTTCTCCACCACCGTGTTTCACTGATGTGTTCAGGGTGATCTATTGTGTTAATTTTAACACTTCAAAACTGAAAACATTCAGTTTTGGTCTCCCACATTTACAATGTCTCTTACACGGCTTGTGGCAAGTGTGAAACTGATCTTCATATGTCTCTTTTCTCTTGCCACTATTTAATAAAGGCAAACTTTGTGCGATACAGGACTAATGGCTCTCATGTCTATTGGTTCTTTCACTTGCGCTATGGCCCTCTGCAGCTCCGCCAGAGTTACCATGCTTCTCTTGGCTGCTCCTCTAAATATTTGCTCTGAGTCGTAGCCTGGGATGTTGGCTTAAGTAGATGACCCTGTGTAAATTTGTTTGTTCCATGTTTTCTTTGAGTGTGTGTGACGATTGATTGAACAGTGCTTTGAGACGTTCAAAGCTGAGACATTACGATCTAAATGTCTACAGCATTCTGTCTGACCTGTAAGCTCTACTCTTCAGTTTTTATGAGCTGTTTGCTGACTGTTTTCTAGCAAATCTCTAAGGCTGTTAAACAAAACATACAGAGATTGAATGGTGACTTCTAAAAGTTGCCAGACTTTATTTTGGGGCACTAGAGTAAAATGATCTGAACATTAATGTACTATTTCTTTATTTTGTTTTAAAAAAATAGATTAATTAAATTTGGTATCATTTTCCTTCCTATTTATTGTTGTGCACTTCTTTGTGTTGGTCTACCCCATAAAATTCAAGTAAAATGCATCAAGTTTTTTGTCTGTAAAAAAAAAAATAAATAAATAAAAGTAAAGGAGAATATGTAGTCTTGCTAGGTACTGTAAGACGCAGACTGAAGGCTCATTTTGCTCATCAGAGGGAGTTTCCCACATTCATTGCAGCCAAAGGGCCATGGAGTGCTGGCACCAGGGTAATTTGAAGCTAGGCTTTGTTAAATAAAGGCTGTAGATCAGAGCCTGCAGTGGAAAGTCAGGAAAACTGTATCACTTGGTGAAAAGCATGGCCTTGCACATGGAGAAGGGAAGTGAATGCAGCAGAGGATAATAAGGCAGCAAAGGGCGCTGAGAACGCTCAAGGTCACTGCAAACGTTCAGCCACGGAGGCTTAAATGTGATCTGACGTTTATGCCTTCGAGAGTGGTTTGAAAGCCTGGAAAGTTTCTGTCATCATTCACTGTTCAGCATGTGATGGTTTCCCTGCTTTTTGCCAGATAATGGTTGAGAGAGGGAGAGAAAGAAAATTTCAGTCTTGACAAAAGTAGCATTTCTAGAATTTTCTGGGCACAAACAAGAATCCGACCTAAAATCGCTCCTTTTCGTCTTAGACAGCTTGCAGCTGATTACGGTAAAGCCTTTTCCTGCCTGCATTGTTTCACTTGGGGCCATGTCAAGTTTAGAAGAGCTCCTCAGACTTGCCCCACTTTAGCACACACAATTGGAAGAAGGAGAGGAGAAGGAGGAGGAGGATGTTGATTTTATTCGGGGGTTATGGTAACTTATTGCTCAGTTTACAAGCACCGTTCTCAGTCAGCAGGGCTTCTGTGTGAACGCTCGTTTATCTGGCGTGCAGCGCTGTGTGGATTCCATGGTAAATAATCAAATGTGCGTTTTATAATGCCTGGATATGTCTCCGCCATCTGGAGCCATGTTACAGCCAGTCAGGAAGAAGCTGCAGAAGTGCTCCAATCTTTTCCAACAACCAGGGGGAAAAAAAAGCCATCCTGTTTGTTTTCAAAATACTCCAAAAGCAAACTTTCTATCGGTTATTGATTAAATGCAAGTTTTGGAGCCGGAGTGTAGCTTATCCCAGCATTTATAATGGCTGATTAATTTCCCATAACTTCCTGTGTCTTTTAAATTGAATGATAAAGAGAAAGAAGGAAGAGGAAGTGATTTAATGAGAGTTGCACAGGTTTGATGGTTCACTTCTACTTAAGCGACTCTTCGTGTTTGGTAATGGGTAGTATTTTAGCGATTTATAACTCCAGAGCCAGTTGGTATGTTTAAGAGCCCTCAGCTTCTGCCCACATGATGAGCACACACTAATAAGAGAGAAAACAAAGACAAGCAGCAACCACACAATTGCTTTTTCTGTCTCCCTGCTTTCATGCGTTTATGCCTCGGACCCATGAGATCCATTAAGTTAAGCAGAACGCTCTATTTCGTATGATCCATCAATCTCTTCAGTTAAATCCTCTCATGCTTCACATTTGTTGCCCAACGGGCAGTAAACTGATCAGGCTCAGAAATATTGAGTTATGAACGAGCCCCTTGTCGGGGTATATACTCTTTGTGATGATGCACTTTACTCCATTAACAACAACAGCAGCGGCCTCTTGTCTGGCTCTCCGGCAGCCAACGTTTTTCGTCATCACAAAGACAGCTTGTCCCCTCCGCAGACCTCTGGATGATAGTGGTGGCCTTATGTGGCCTCGGGTAGCACCGCCTGTCGCTCCACACCCGGCCAACACGGGGCTTTAAACGCCCTCTCTGCAAGCACTGCACGAGGTTACGTGGGTCTTGGCGCTCGGGTTGTCTGTCTGGACGCCTTCCACTGCATTTCAGATTCGGTGATGCTTCCTTGTCGGTTCCCAGCGATTTCCAGCGTGAGGTATTTCAGTCGGAAGCTCTTGTAAAGCTGATGTTTTTCCATCAAAACTGAGTTGATGAGACTTGCTGAGGGACGTGTAGCATCGTGAGCTGGACATGTCTCGTCCTGGTTTGGCTTTGTTGCTAATTGGATTAGTCGCATATGGTATGAATCTGCTGCTTTAAAGCCGTATTTGTTTTTCCTGTCTAGTTTCAGCAGAAGTGCTAATCTGGATGTTTCCCTCAAAGTTTTAAGTCATTTTTTTTTTCTTCTTCTTCTTCTTTCAACATCCAGCTGGGGTTCCTACAGGAACCCTGTGCGGTGAGCCTTCTGCCCCCCTCAGGAGGGTCCAGCAGCCTCTCCTCTTCCCCAAGAACCCCGAGCCAGAACTGACCACCATCCACAACTCTGGAGCCGCCATGATCTGGAACCAGAGACGAGAGGTACCCGCCGTTTCCAGCGATTATTCTCTGTTTGCACAACAGAGCAGGAGCCTATTTGGACCAGAGGATCACAGATAAAAATGTATTTCATTGGAAAATGTCGTCTGAACGGGTGGCTTAATTTGTCTTTTTGAAACTAATCCACGTTTTCAGATAAATATGCGCTGACATTTGTAATCCCAGCAGAGGTTTAGTTTTTCACACAGAGTCCTCGCTGTCAGACATGGAAAGAATTTCTTAATAGAGCAGTCTGAGTGAAGACATACTGAAACAAAATCCCTCCAAGAAAATAAAAGGGTAACAAAATTTACAACATCTTGCAAAAGTATTCATATTCCTAGAAATTTTTCACACTTATTTCATTTAAAAAGGGAAATGCACATTAATCGGTCGGTCATGTAAATATGCCAAACTTAACCCATTGTGTTCAAAGGTTCTGTGTCATGTTATAAGCAGCTTGAATGTTTATGGAGATTTTGCATGATAAACCAGGAGAAAGTAGAGCTTGATTGTGAAGTGCAAGAAAAAGGATACATAATTTTCATTGTTTGTTGTGTTCTGGCTTCCTGAGTTGTTACTTTTACTACAGCAGCAATGAACTCTGAGATTTGTGCTGCATGCTCGTTTGGAGGCTCTACATCTTATTACAGTTTTTCTTAGAGTCAACATCTGACAAAATTACTGGTCGATTTGCTTCAAACCAGATGGAAAACATGCCTAATTTACATTTCCTTTTTTTCTTCTTTGCTTAAAATTCTCATAAAAGTTGGACAGAAACATAGCAATAGAGAAATACAACCATGCAATCACACACTCCCACGTTGGGACAATTTAGAGAGACTGAGGGAAGTACCAGGAGCACCAAGCAAAAGGAGAACACGCAAAAAGAGTCCAGGCCGGGATTCAAACTCGGGACCATCTGACTGCAAGGCAACATTGCTAAAAACTGCTCCACTATTTAGCTACATTATCATTATATTATAATTAAATCATCAAATAAGGAGCAGACACCATGACACAATCAATTCACAAACCATCACCTTCCAGTTGATGTTGGTTTTAAACAAAGCAGAGCATATTGTCATGTACTGATGGCTGGGCTGATATTAATGTCCTTTCTTTTTCTAACATTTTAGGGTGAGAACGGCCAGGAACAAGCAAACGATGGTAAGTACCCTGACTTCCTCAGCTGTTTTTGCAAAAAATTCCTTTAAGTGTCTGTCACAGGATGGCTGTGACTAAACAGCAGGGCATGACTTGGATTACTCAGTGAAAGGCTCTATGGTGTTTGAAAACAGACCAGGTAATTCTACTCTTCCTGCCCCGTCAATATCAGCTTGTGGCGAGTGGTCTCGTCTTTACTAGGAGGGGGGAAAAAAAACAGGATTCAACTTCTCCCTTTCTGAGTCAACAACACATGATCTCTTTGATGTGGTTTGTTCCTGTCATGATGGCACAACGATCTGGAGTCAAGCAGCTGTTCTTTGATGGCAGGCTTCATTTAGTATGAAAAGCTTTTTATGAATCACCAGGTGCAAGATTTGAACTGAGTGGCTGGCTCCTCCGATAATAACAGGGGTCTGCAGCCTGGTTGGAGGGAAAATATTGAAACTAAAGCTGCCTTTGTTGCCTTTATGTCAAGTATTTCCTCTGTGTTTATGTTGGCAGCAAGTTTCAGTTTATGAACACAATCCAACTCCTGTCTTGATGGTTTAGCTGTATGCCAGCAGGAAGCGATGACTCAGAGCAGACAAGACGGACACTTTTAGAAAGGTCAAATATCAGAACATCTGCGTCCGCACTCACCGCGCAGTGCAGTGGCAAAGGGCCCGTTAACTTAGAACGAATACAGTTGTCACAGCTGCTTCTATTGCCCTTCTCCTGTCTGTTTCCTTTTCAGAATTATAAAAGTGATGACACACAATATTTTCTAGGCATGGGCTGTTACAGGATTCTGAATAAATAGAAATTTCACACGTACTTGCTCAGAAATGCAGAACAGAAGCTAATTGCTTTTAGTTTAATCAGAAAAGCAACCATAACTCATAAATTAAAGATGGATTCAGCACAATAATGTCATCTATACCAGAAATTTTGATTTATTTGATAGATTTAAGGAAATAATTGTGAGTAAATACCTGCTAAATTTAGTAGTAAATGAATGAAGCATTTTTATTTTGCACTGAATTATACAGATTTAATTTATATTGATAAGCTAAGCAGTCTGTTGCTTGAGACAGGCAACTAATGTAGCTTCAGATCACAGAGCTTTTTAGTTTCCACACTGATAGTCTTTCTCTTTCAAAACTGAAAATATTTTCTACTATTTAGTTGTTTTGTAAACAAGAGAACATTAATGTGAGACTTCTTTCAGCTAGCTTACCAGCAGAGTGCTGCAACTGGGTAAAGTGCTCTCCAACCTCTCAGCTAATCTGCATTGCTGACTCTGGTGTCTTTCTTCATCCCCTTGATATTTTATTCTTCCACTCAACTTTCCATCAATATACTTGAATACAGTCTCTAATTATTCAACTACTTTTGAAGTGACCACATCCTGGCTTACAATTTTCGTGTAGACTGTCAATAACTCAAGACACTAATTGCATCGACCATAAATCAGGATTTCTGTATCGACCTAAAAGCCATTCAAATGGATTAAAAAATGCTTCACATATGTCACTGTGTGCAAGAAATCTAAAGAATAAGATTCATTTTAGAATTTAATTGTTGCCATCCATCAACTTTTTGATAATGTTTTAATTTCAGAAGGTGTGCCTGTACTTTTACACCCTGTTTGGTGCCTACTGTTGAAAAGCAGTAGCACTTCAGATAAAAAAAGTAACTCAAGGCCTCAACATGGTTTGCATGTACGCTTAGGCAAAGCAGCTCACCCACAAACACTCTTATTCATGCTTATTTCTGGGTCAGCTCCGTTGTTGACCAACCACCTGGCCTCCAGAGTCACACTCTAAACAAAAAATAAGTTTGATTCCTCACAAATACCTAAACCTATTGTTTTGTGTTTTTGATTGAACTGTTCAATTTTAGATAAATCAACCTTTTGGTTTTTAGACATTTTCTGTCTGTTGCTTCATGTTGACACCTTTTTGATTCTTGAACATTTGATGAGCATTGAAGACCATGTATTGACCCTGAAGGTCAGCTTCTGGTTAGTCAGTACTGATCTGCTCACATTAGCCGCCCATTACAAAACCAGTACATCCGTCTGCCACAACACAGCAGCAGTGGTAGACCAGCTGTGGTTTCATATGAATGTCTGGAGCACATCTTCAGCCGCTGTTCTAAATTATATCTGCTGTAATCCGATTAGTAGTATGTGGTCAGATTCAGTTAAACTTAACCCCCCTGTGGTTTCTCATTGTTATCGTGTCTGCAGAGAGCCCTGAAGAGGTGGATGGGGAGCTGGAGGAGCCCGAGCAGAAGGAGTCGTCACAGGCCCCCGCCCCGTCGGGAGGTGCCAACGCTGCCGCGGGCGGCCGGAGAAACCCTCCTGGAGGCAAATCCAGCCTCATCCTGGGTTGAGACAACTCCTTTTTCTTTACTTTCTTTTTTATATATATATTTTTTTCTTCATTCAGTCACTCTTTTTTTTTATTTTTTTGAAGATAAAAACACCCCCCGCCACTGTCTTCCTCCTCATCAACATGCCACTGTCTCTTCTTGTCCTCCTTCCCATGCCGTCGCGTCCGTGGACTCTCATGTCCTCTCACTCCACCCTCAAACCTTTTGTTTGATCCTTTTTTTTCTATTGAAAGAAGAAAACTGTTGACAAAAGCACTTTATGTATCTCCCACACCCTCCCATTTCAGCCCATCCTGTAGTGCATCGCGCCTGCTGGGAAAGGCATGACATGATTTTAGCTTGTCCCTCATTCCTTCCTTCGTTGTAAATGGTAAAACAAACAAACAAAAAAAAACTAAAAAAGATTTGATGTGTGGATTTCTAAATACAATAAAGATTCATATGAAATTGCATTTGCTGGATTTCCTTTTTTCTAACTTTGTATGAGGAAAACTTCAGGAACTGTTACCAGACAAAATGTCGTCGCTGACCATCCAGTCTAGACCTGTTGTATGCAAGACGACTGTTAATTCTCTCCTCTTCAGTTTCCATCTGCGTAAATGTCCAGAAGCAAAGAGCCTCTTAATATTTATGTGTGCTGAAATGAAACATTGTGGCGGCGGCTGTGGAGAGAGAAGACAGGTTCCAGACTGGAAATCTGCCCAGCTGAAGTAACGAGGATGACCGCTCCAGTGACCTGTGTCAAAATGAGAAAAAAACATTTCTATGACCTCACAAGCTGGATATTTGGCTTTCAGAGCGTTTCTGTGTCAAGATGAGTCTTGCATTTTGCTAAGCCTGAAGGTTGAAGGCTTTTTAAACAAAACGTGAAAAATGATTCCTTATTTGGTTTTAGACTCAAGGTTTTACCCGTGTACATATTAGTAGGAACACAAAGGTTGAAATCATATTTTGTCAAAAAAAAAAAAAACTTTTCCCATTTTCTGCTAATTTTTCATTATACAAAACAAACTTAAGTGATTGCACCACTACTTTTAAGTTATTGTGAGATTACATTTATTACCTAGATGGAAGTGTATTGTATCTATAAGTCTGAGCTCCTTACTGTAAAGCGTATAGACTGAGGGAAATCCTCTTCAGATTACTCATGATGGAGCTTAACTGCAGACCTGAAGATCTTAAAACCCTCTTTAGAAAAATGGACGCAGCATCTCGCTTCTTAAGGACCCATTTGCCCTTATGTTCACGTCCTTAAAACATCAAACTTGAGTGGAGACATGGTGGAAGTAAAAGCTGAGGCATTTAAAGAAGATGCAGTGATCTACAGTTCAGGAGAAAGAATATGTTGGCAAGAAAATGTACTTGTGCAGTCCAAACAGATGGTCATTATGGGAGAGTTTTGTTTAAACTTTCAGATAAGCCATGTGGGGGACACATTCAATGAGTAAAAACAGATACTGTTTCAATAAGAACTTTTTGTTGTTCATTTTGGTCCGTGAGGTGGGAAAGCCTGGACACATAATCCCCAGTCATGGGCATTCTCAGCACAGCAAGCTGAACTCTCTTTTGAGCCAATTAGAGGCTCAAAAGAGAGTTGAGACTAAGAGTTTTAGAATGGTCCTGTCAAAGTTCAGACTAAAATTCAATTCACAATCTGGAATAGCTTAAAAATGAATGTTCACAAACGCATTCTGCTCAACCTGACTTGAAAATAAGCTCCTTTTCCTGGATTGGGCAGCATGAGGACAATCCCACTAAAAGACATTGGGGTTTGTGGCTAATGACAAAGCAAGAAAAATATTCCAGGCTTTTAAATATACTTACGAGGCAGCGACTAAATTACATGGTTTCTACCACAACATTTGCTTTGCGTCTTACCTACTCGTCAGCTACAGCAACTCCTTCAGGCCCAAACCTTGAGCTGCTCAGTGCTGTGCAACAGCAGTGTGTTTCAGCCATTTTTTTTTTTTTTTTTTTTTTTGCCAGAAAAGGCACGCAGGGGTCACTCAGATCAGGAAAAGAACTTCCTGCCCTGGAGAAAGGCCAGGATGTTTTATTGCACTCAATGAAAGCTTGTTTGCAGCGAGCGTTGTGTCAACAGGGAAAGTCCTGCAACCTGAAGAGTTGGTCTAAATATCTGCTGCTGCTTCAGCCTTCTGATGCACATATGACCAAAACAAATAATAAACTAAAGAGACTTGAGATTTACTGAGGTTTTTTTGTTGTTGTTGTTTTGTTCATTTTTACTATTTAGATGGCAAATTAAAATTCAGTAATATGCAAAGTTATACATACTATGAACATTTTGCATGTATTTTACGTTGAAAGCTCTTAAAGTAATTTTTTTGTGCTTATTTTAGTTTAAGAAACGTTTATTTGCAAAAACAGTCTTAACATGTTCACATTACATCAGCTAATAATGTCAAACTGCATTTTATTGGGATTTTATCTTAATGACGAAAGCAAAATAGTACATACTTGTAAAGTGAGACAGAAAAAAAAACAAATGTTTGTTGTGAATTTTAATTCAGACCCCTTCTACTTTGTGATCCCTAAATTAAATCTAATTTATAGTTACGCTTGTGCCTTCCAAAATGGGTGTAAATACTTTCCGAATGCACTGTAACGTTAAGCTTTGCTCTTTTGTTCTGGCCAGCAGCTAATCAGTTTGGACCAGACTCTGTTGTCTATCCGCTTTGATTATCCGACTAATCTTTCCGCAAAGATGGGAGATTACCATTCCCCCCCCCCCCCCCCCCCCCCGCCCCGGCCCGGCACAACCCGAGTGTGTGTGTGTGTGACATGTGTTTATGCAGCCTCGCTCGTTTGCTATTTAATTGATCGACGGTTCCATTAGTCCATGTGTAGTCCAGATGAGGCCAACCGGAGGTCTCCGAGGAGGAAGAGGAGGCGTGAGCTCTGGAAGTCGAGTGGGGAAATGAGGTGAGTCATCTCTGAGTGATGTGCAAACAGTCTGTTAATCGATACCACCATTTAGTCATGTGCACTGACTCTGCAACTATTCAGAAGAGGAGGTTTATTCAGACGCCTGCAGAATAACTGTTGGTTATAAAAACACAAGCAGTGAGATTGATCATTCTTGTCCTGTTCTTTGTTGATTTCCTGGCCTCTCTGTGAGCAAGCCAGGAGTCATCCTGGCCTGGCAGACTCAGAACTGTACTGCCTCCCACATCGGGACATAAAACAGAAAACACCGGCTGGTAAATGGACGGGACTGTTTCTGCAGCAGCAGAGGGACGTTGTTTTACGTCCCCTGTGGCTTATATTCCACCTCCTAAAGTAGAAGAGATTGGAGGAAGGACACTAGTGGTGAAAAGAATGATGAGATAAACTGGGACCTTTTGTTTCTGCTTTTCCTCTTGAGGAAATGAGACCAAACAAGACACATGCTACAGTTATTGACTGATTTATTTTGTAGTTGCCTTAGGACCACGGGAACCCCAGAAACTTTTGTCTTCATGAAATTGTGTACCATTAAAATACTTTGTTCATGTTGCGTATTACTCTGTATGAATTAGGTTTCACAGCATTAAGCACATAAATGTGATTCTGTATTTGTTTCTCACCTGTGTACGCTCAGATTATCTGTGAGGAAGTGAAAAAAATGATCTGATCATCATCACCATACTGAACTTCATAAAACAATATTAACATTACATTATCTTTTATTTTTCCTGTATATTTGTTGTGGGTAATGCTTCATGTTATTTTTGGTATTGTCCCAGGCCAGAAATTTGGTTTATTCTAAAGAGCTTAGCATTAGAAATTTTTTCTGCAGCTATTTTATTTATTTTATTTGTTATGGTAAATTTATACAATATATTCTTTAGCAGAATTTTAGCTTTATGTTGGTCTGCATTTTACGTAGTTATGTGAAATGCATGTGTGTGAGTACATGCTTCAAATTGTAATGTCAGACAAGAAGATGATTTTAAAAATGATATCACTACTTTCAGTGACAGTACAAAAAAAAAAAAATTTTCAATTTGCTTTGACTTTGTGAATCTACAAAATGAATGAGTCAATGAGAGGTCAGTGTAGAAGGGGTGACCTTTGGGTGTGAAACCATTTTCTTTTCTGCTCCAGCAGGAGAGCGGTTCAAACGCGGCAAAGCAGCATCAAAGCTTCTCTGCATCACACCTTTGGTTGGATGGTCGAGTATCCAAACACTGAAATCGAGCAAAAGTAGCACTTCTTCAACAAATTTTTAGTCAACTAAAAGTAAAAAGCAAACATCCAAGAGACAACTCAAGCGTTTTCTGAGAATTGAAAATAAGTCTTGTACATTATCATGGAGGAATTTTAGCTTTACACCTTTCAGACATGGAGTTGAACAGATCTGCTGGTTTAAACTTCATGTTGCAGCAACTCAGCTGGGTTTTGTGTCCGGACTTTGATTTAGCCACTTCAAAACTTTCGAAGTAATTAAGTCTAAAAGTCTTTGAGATCATCAATGTTTTGTTTCTTTCTTTGGAAAATTGGACATTTCTTTGTGTTCTTTTCAGTCATTGTTGGTTTACACTTTTACACTGTCAAACACCACATGAATACCCTCTTCATCCAGTGTTTTTCTCATTGTTGAATCTTGAACACTGACCTTATTTAAAGCAAGTGAGGTCTGGAGAAATTTAGCTGCTATTGTGGGTTCTTTTGTGACCTCTTAAATGAGTCAGCAATGCTCTTTTGAAGTCATTGTAAGTGGCTCGCCACTCCCTTGAAGCTTCAGCAATGCTTTATCCATTTGTGGATAATGACTTTCTCTGGGACTCACTAGAGCCCCAAAGCCTTAGAAATGGCTTTGTGACCCTTTACAGAGTAATTGAAGTCAATGTCTGATTTTTATTTGTTATTGATTTTCTTAATGTGTTGCTTTTTCAGATGTGATGAACCCTACTTAATTCTTTTTTAAATGTCCTATGATTTTGTTTTGGTTCTGCAAGTCAGGAAGAAATCAGGCTTACACTGTTATTATGCAAGTGATATTTTCTCAAATTTTTTATGACCCTTTATATTCAATTTGTATAATAATGTGGAACACGTTGTAAATGTGGTTTGTAAACTTTTGTCAGCTTCCAAAAGAATGTGGGCACTCACAATTAACTTATAATTTAATAAAGGGGCTGTTCACTTTTTATTATTTTGCTTTTTTCCCCCCTAAGTAAATGAAACCATACTTTGAAAAACCTTCTTAGCCGAATTTAGACTTATAATACAATGACTTTGATCTGAAAACAAAGTTTCATTTAGGTGTCTGAAGGAAAAAGAGATCTGTAAGAGAGAAAGTACTTTCACAGAGTTTTGTATTTGTGTTGCCAAAAATACGAGCAACCTTGAGTTCCTGTTTGAAGCTGTGGTTAAATTCGAAACGTTTCCTGATTTGAGCACAAGAATTTGAGACGACTTTGTGAGCAGCAGTTGTCACGATGTCTGATGCCTGGATGAGGACTGTCACCATCCTCTGTCTCTGTTGCGCAGCAGGTAAAGCTAAGAGAGACATGAAAACGAACAATGACAGTTTAAAACTTACTGGGATATTTTGACAATATTTGTAAAGTGTTTGATATAGGTATGTGACGGAATAAATAGGATGTGAATCAATATCTTTGGTTTTGCTTTGTAGAGATGAAAGGAGTGGTTTGGAAAAACGTTGGACAATCCCTTACCATCCAATGCAGAATTGAGTCTGATCAAGATTCTCTGAATTTAAAAAAGGAGACTGCCAATGAGGAAAATGACATTGTTGGTATAGACAAAGCCACAGAAAGAAGAGTTGTTCTTCAAGAACTGACAGAAAGAGTTCAGATTTATGGAGCATTTCCCAATATGGACATCATCATTAAAAACTTGAATGGAAATGACGCAGGATCATACCGGTGTGAATATTCAAGAATGAGCGAAACATTTAATCAACAAATAACAAAAGGTGACGGATCTGTGCTGCTCTTTGTGACAGGTGAGTCTTTTTTTGAATTAAACCATCAGCATCTTAGCTCAGTTATTATGCTCTGCTGGACGTAACTTGCTTTGTTCGACAGCCTTAGAAAGACACCGCAGTTACCTGCCACTGCAAAAGTGGGCATTTAAAAAGGGCGACAAGGTAGATGCTGAGCAAAACTTTGATTCCTTGATGATTTCGTTTTAAATAAAAGAATCTCAAAGTGGTTTGGGTGAAATTTTGGAATAGAAACACCAGATTGACTGACTGTGCAGTTGTGCTCGGTTTGTGTCTGATCTGGCTGCTAACTCTGTGGTCAACCCTTCGGAGCAGATTTGTTTTTAACATAAAATATATGCAAAAACTGATCAGATGATTTAATTTTGAAAAATAAAACCATTGTATTGGGTGCAATTTTATAAAAACACCAAGAACTACACTCATATGTTGGATAGATAACTAAAAGAGGTAGTCAACTTACTCCTCCTTCTGTAGAGATGAAAAGACATGCTTGCCATGACATATTATGACAAAATTGTAATTTTGCTACAGACATATATTATGAGAATTTAAGGGTTAGAGCTCACAAAGGCAGCATTTGCATGAGGTAAACTTTCTCACACTGGGTGCAGAAAGCTTCACTGTGAAAAGCCCAGTTCACCATTATATGTGGCCAAAGACAGGAGATTGTGCACCAGTTAGCTGTCATGTTTAGTGGTTAAAAACAAAAACCACATTCAGACCGTGGTATGAGAATTGGGTTAAACCACGTCAACAGTAATGGTCAGCATGTATTCTCTCTGGCTGGAGGACTTCCTGTGTCTCTAGTGCACAACAGGTACGGCTGAAACAAAATGATGCACCATTATGTTTCAAAGCAATTCTAATTGTTTAGCAATTTGTTTTTGCAGTTGTTGCTATTTGATGATCATGTGTGATGTTCTCTGTCTTTTATGTTCTTTTGCCTAGAAACAAAAGAAGTGATTTGGAGAGAGTCCGGACAAGCAGTTAGGATCCGGTGCAGAATTAATACTGATCAAGATTTTCTGGTATTGAAAACGGGTCTTTTCGAGGAGACTGAGGTTGCCGTTATCAACAGAAAAACATATTTTCATAAAGCAATCGCAGGAAGAGTTCAAACAAATGGAACATTCCCAAGTGTAGATATTGTAATTGAAAACTTGAACGTAAGTGACTCAGGGCCATACTGGTGTGTGTATTCAAAACTAGATGACAATTACGATCAACTGGACACAAAAGGTAATGGATCTGTTCTTCTAATGGTGACTGGTAAGTACGTTGTTCTACCAACTGAATTTTAACTCAACTAATATGTTGATATGTTGTTAATATGTTGCTTTGTGCACAGATTTCTGTAATGTACAGCAGGATACACCAATAAACACAGGATGTATATATTAAAGTTTCAAATAATGATCTGACTGAATTAAAATATTGCATAGTCAGTTTAACTTAAATAATAGATTCCTACACTTAAGCAATCAACTTGACATGTAAAACATTTTAAATGAGAAGATTTTTTAAAAATAAACAATCAACTTCCTGCATTAAAAATAATAACATTATGTTTGTAATTTTAAGGAAATACTCGTGAATCAACAACAACCATTACGGGAGAGGGGAAATGTGATGCATCAAGTCTGACTTTGGTTGTGGTTTATGTTCACATCATCGTCATTGTTCTGATTGGCCTCATGCTTGGTTTTAGCATTTTGATCATGCACAAGGTACGTTCATGTTTCATCTTTTCTTTTTTGAGAGAATGTGCCTTTGGTTGCGTCTCTCTGCGGGGATGTCCCAAATGTAATTAAACACAGTCAGAGTCAGATGGGTCATTCCTTAAATTCTGCAAATGCTTTTAATTAGAGAGCTCTAATTCACATCATCCTAATACATCAGTGAAAACTGTGATTATTTTGACATGTCATTCCTTAGTCATCATTATGGTTCTTTAAAAATAGTTTCTCATTCTTTATCCACAATTACATCCTACAGTCAGCAGGTGGCAGCAGGATCCCTGCTCTACCTCACATTCCTGCATTTTATTTTTGTCTCTTTTTTTGTTTTTTGGTTTTGCAGAGTCACAACAAACAACCGCTTCAATGATGTGTTGTGATGATTTTAATGAAAAAAAGAATGAGGAAAAACATGCAAGTGTGTATGGAGACATAAAACACAGGACATCAAGTATGGACAAAAACGAACAATGAACAAAAGAATTGAGAAACAGCTGATGGAGCCAAATGGAAATTAGACATAGAAACAGAACTAAAATGCAAAATATAAATAAGGGCGTGTAAAGTGACACAATAACAAGAGAGACCAATCAGGGGAAACACAGAGATTGAGAGTAAAAGGATCTGAAAACCAAAGAGCAACATCTGATAATTATCTAAAGGGATGAATTACAAATATGCAAGGAACACAAAACAAAAAGAAGAAACCAAGCACCTTAAAAATAATAATAAACAGAAAAATGAACAGAATTGCCAGACTTTCGAATACAAATAACCCACAAGAGAACATAATATTTACACAAACAAAAAAATTTAACTCAAGCACAACATAATATTCTTTTGATCTGTTTTGGTTGCAATAAAGAGATTATCCACATTATTTCCCCCTGACATTTGGACAGGGAACAAAAAGACTATGAAAGAACTGAATCATACACTTATGTCTGTATCATGCTGATCCCTGCAAGATGCCACCCTGGGTGGTTACCCATTCTGCCCCTATCAAAACCTCTAAGTCTTCCACTTGTTTAAGTGCTGTTGAGCGTTGCAATACTTAGCCTCTTTCCTTTTCTTTGTGGGTCTTAGTTCCTATCAAAAGTTTGTTTTTTTGTTTGCTTCATGTTCTGTTTCTATTGCATAACTGGCTTCTGAGTTTTGTCACTTCCTTGTACTTTCAGTCATTCTTTTGTTGGGCGTTTAGCTGTAATCTTTGGTTCCGGTGTTTATTTTCTCTCCTCAGCTCTTCTGAATTCCCCACCGTATTTTCTTTCTTCTGGTTTGTCTTTGCTGAACTCATTAATACACTTGTTTCTTTTTCCAGTGATGATCATTTCAATCTAATAATCCAAGCAATAATAAAATAGTTAGACAACAGCAGCAGCATGATCCTGCTGTCTTTCTTAAATGTCATTTCACTCTCATATGTAATTCCTGTACGCCTCCTGCATTTGGGTTGTGTTTACTGTTGCATTTTTTACATTGAACCTTTTTACTCATCCTGCCACCTGCACAGCTACATATAGACTCTCTCATCACACCACTTAACAACAGTTCAGCAATTGTATATATTTGTAGATCATTTTTTTCTGTACTTATTCTGTGATCCACTTGTAACTGTGCTGTTGTTTTACTTTTCATTCATAAATGTTTTGCACATGTTAAGTTTTGATTGTTTTTCATGTAATTTAGTGTGTTTGAATTGTGTTTCTGTAATGACTTACTTCACAGTTTCAACATGACTTTTGATGATGCAGACCTATTTAGACTTGGTATTTTGTTTGTTTCTTTTTCTGAGAAGGATGTCAAAACCTTAAATATCGACGCAGATTTGCTGAGCTGCCACAAGAGGGCAGTATCAATGCAGCAAAGCGCAGAGCTTCTGATTTCTGGTGACTCCACACATTTAACGTTCTTCAAAAAGAATAAAAACAAAATTAAATGAGAAAAACGAATCATGATCTCATAGGAAGAATGAAAAAACGTTAATAATGTATCTTTTGTATGATATCCATTCAAAAATGATGCACACACACATAGCAGATCCTCTCTGGTCATGATTGGATTATTTTGTGCAGACTTAAAGTTTCATTGCTTCTTAAACCATCTTTAAAAGAAAAATAAGGCAGAAAATTCTGCAACGTTACAAGTAGGAACTTCAACATGCACCAACGGTTAAGAGTTTCAACTTTTTTATTCCAATTCAAGATGTTCGAGTTCACGGGTTGGTTTGAAATGGTGCATAGGAAAATGTTGAGCTCTCAGAAGTAAACAACTTCTGTTCTGCAGCAATGGAGGTTGATCAAGGACTGAAAGCTGGTGCAACTCATTCCTACAGGCCTTCCCATTGTTCTGGAATGCTTCCAACCAAATCTGTCTTCATAAAATCAGTGCTGGAATGCACTGTTGTGCTGTGCCCACATGAACATCAAATAACTGCTTTGCACAAAGCAGTGTACCGCTAAAAAGATGGTAAAAAAAATTTAATAAAATCTTAATGGAAAAGAGACAGGCCATCACAAATACCATCAAAAGTATAAGTCTTTAATTGGGAAATTGGACTTGAAGCAAAGGTGTTGGCAAGTAGTTTTTTTCCTCCATCAGAAGGCACTCAGAAACTGTGACAAAGTCTGACAGGAAGAGGTCTGGCAGACTAAAATCCATTCACAAATCAAACACATTTCTGAGAGTTAGCAGCTTACGTGACAAGCAGCTCACAGTACAACAAATTTCAGGCTGCAGGTTTAACAGCACGAGTTGCTTAGAGAAAGTCATTTCTAAGATGTCAAAATAAGAGATGAAGGCTTTTCCGTGCCATGAAACACAGTCATTGGACAATTGAAGAGAAGTAGGCAGTATGGGCTGATGAATCCAAATTTTAAATCTTTGATTTATCCCGCATGATCTGTGTCGAGTAGTTTGGTTCCACAGAGTGTAGAATGGAGAAGGAAGCCTGATGGTCTGGGATTTTTTAATTTTTTTTTAATTTTTGCTGGATCCAAGGTTGGTGAATTGTACGTAGTTGGAGGCATCTTGAACCAAAACTGCCACCACAACATTCTTCAGCACCATAAAATATCCTCCGACATGGGTCTAGTTGATCAGTGGTCCATCCATCATCAAGATGAAAACTTCGAGATGTTAAGTTTGAAGACATGGACTAAAATCCCATTGGGGATGAACTGGTCAGAAGAGTGAAAACAAAGCAACCTATAAATGCGACACGTTTATAAGAACCTTGGCAAAGGATACGGGAAGAACTTTCTGAAGAGTATTTGATATCTATTGCAGAAAGAATGCCACAAGTGTGTTCAGCTGCCACATCTGCTGAAGGTGCTTACTTGGAATAATCAAACGTTAAAGTGAATACATTTTGGTCTACAAATTGATTCCATAATTTCCTTTTTAGCTCCAATTACTTATTTCTACAGTGCTTCCATTTCAGAGTGCAGTGAGACATTAAACTGCATGATTTTCAATAATAACTTGAAAAACTTTAAAGCAGTTTTATATTTTTTTGGATATTTTTTAGAAGAATTTGAGAAGTTTGAGCTTGTTTGTGACATTGTTCATCACTTAAAATGATCTCACTGCATGAGATTGTCTTCCAAGATTGTTTTTTTGTTGTTATTTTGAGACCTCTGAGCCCTTTATCAAGATATTAATTAATATTTCCATCATTACAGGCTGGGACCCATCATGGTTTAGACTTCAGTTTCAAAGCTTTTTTTATGATATGCTTTTGCTCTGAATTATAGGAGCTCTGTTGCGTTCTTGCTGGACCTGCAGACAGACTTTGACGTAATCAACCATGATATCACAACTGGAATCATGTTTTGGCCTTCAGAGTCTGTTCTTCTCTGGTGTCGGTCCTCCTTATCTTGTCAGCTGGTTGTTTTTCTTTTGGTGGGTTTTAAAAACAAACAAAAAGTTTGGTGCAAGACAAACGGGCAAGAGCAGCCTTATTGTTTACTCCAAAAGCAGGTGAGTGCAGTAAAGTAGCGCAGCTTGTTCTGAGACAGCTAGCTGAGGCCACGCATGTCTTTCAAGGTGTTTTTCATTTGTTCATAACTTGCAAGCAATGGCTAACTGCACCTCTCTGTATTTTTGTCTGAAGCAGGTCTTTGTTGCTCTAAAATGCAGCTGCTTCTCTGCTGACTGGTACAAAACAGAAGGACCATGTAACCCCAGTGTTGGACTACACTGACCTGCAGGATCAAGTTTAAAATGTCAATTTTTTTCTATTAAATCATTAAATGGTAAAGTTGATGTTATTCATAAAGGATAAACTTAAATCTCAAGATGACTGAGTTTTCTCTGTCACAAGTCCCAGACTCTGGAATAGTCTGCCTCTGAAATATTGCAGATTTAAAATGCTGCAACAGTTTAAATCTCTGATGAAGACTAGCTTTTTAAACATGTTGACGTAAACTTCATTTTTACCGATCTTGCATATGCTGTTTAGCTATTGCCAACATTTACTGGTTTTTATTTCTCTTCTGTGTTCTTAGTGCATCGTGGTCATGCATTTATTTTGTTGCATTTTAGTTTGCACAGCATGAGTTCTTGGAAACGTGTGACTTTTAAGTCTGCTGCTTGCTTGAAGTGACAAACGCCAGCAATAATGTCACGACTTCCTGCGAGATGTGAATCATCAAAATGTGGTGAAAACTATAGCAAATGTTCAGTGCCATCACTGGAGAGAGCATTTTCAAAGGCAGATGTTGACATGTCTGCAGTCTGGATGAAGATCTGTGCCATTCTTTGTCTGTGCTATTCAGCAGGTAAGCCTGAGAAGGATGTAATGGCAAACCATCATCATGTTTATTTGGCTTAAAAACAATTTAACTGATGTTGCTGAAGCTTTGGGCCTGTCTTATAAAATGTTTTGTTTTCATATTCAGAGATGAAAGAAGTGGTTTGGAGAGAAGTCGGAGAATCCGTCACAATCCAATGTAGATCCAGAACAACCAAGGATCATTCTCTGCATTTTAAAAGGGGCCTCTGGGAGGATATGGATATTGCTCAAATAACTAACGAACAAAAATTGACCAAAGAACAGAAAAAAGTAATGAAAATATCAGGAAAAAAATTAGATTTTGTTAAAAATATGTCTGACAGAGTTCAGTTTAATGGAACATACCCAGACATAGATTTTCTTCTTAAAAACCTGAGTGTCGATGACACAGGAGCTTATTGGTGTTTGTATTTGAAAGGAACATCAGGCAGCAAAGAAATGAGAAAAGGTGATGGATCTGTGATCGTCGTGGTAAAAGGTGAGAATATTTTCCTTATAAACCACTGCTGCATTTAGCACAAAAATATTTTTGCATGAAACATGAGATTAAGTGAACATGCATGCACTGTAGCAAGGAGGAACTCCAACGTTGAATCTGATGAGGCAGTGATGTAAATATGCTATTACAATATGGAAAAAAATGTTTACATCTCATGCAGTTTTCTACTTTAAACTGAAAGCAGAAAGTAATACTTCAGAGTTATCTGTCTTTTCTGAATCCAAACCAAGATATATGCATTTATTTTTAACTTCATGCTAAGAGCAGATTTGTAACCTCTCTGTCTAAATGTTAAGAAAGCAGTTCTGCTAGAGCAGAAGCAGTGCAGGGGTCTGGTGAACCACCCAAGAACATGCCCTTGGTGTATGCTGTCCCTGCTGCAGTCCTCTTCCTTGGCATCATATTGATCTTCATCATTTGGATCAAGCGCAGGGTACTTAAGTTTTTTTTTTTATTGTAACTTTATGTGTCTGTCTGTGTGTGTGAACATCGCCTTCAACATCTGTTCTTATTACAGTGCAATTCTCATATTGTGCAGGTGCAATATTAAATTGCTTTTAAAAAAGATTTATCAGAATTCTACACGTCTATTTCTTTAAAAGATATTTGCATATAAGTAAGAATCCACGAGCAGGAATGAGAAATGACCAGTTCAATGAGTTTCATAAATTTGGATGCTCCAGTTACTCTTAATTATTTCGATTTTGTACTTTGAATTTAGAATTGTTTACAACTGTCTCCTGCTGTTTTGCTTTTGTTGCTTTTGTGGCGTTAAACTGTTGCAATGCACAAAATTGGTGTTTCTGTAGTTCATCCTGCCTGATGAGCAAAACCGCAACTCAGAGTGGTTAACCAGAAATAACATCCCCTGGTGCAAACTTTACATTTCCACCAATTTAACCTACACATTTCTATTTCTGAAGGATTTAAGAACATTTTCATTCTGTGTTAAACATTTATTGATGAACTCCCTTCTGACACGGTAATCTTTCTAACAGAGCAAGACCTTACACATCACAGCTGAGCAGACTTGTGTCGATGCTGAGACCGTCCGTCCTTGTGTGGATGAAGAGCATGTTGAGGACGAGACTGAGAGGCTGCAGATTGCAAACCCGACTGAATCACTCAACATCCTGGACCACGGTGTCAAAAGTGATGCGTGTTAAGCTACATCGCTTGTCAGACCACTCAGTTTTCTAAACCGCACTTTTGCATGTGTGCAAAGTGTGAACTGTTGTTGTACAGTTAAAGATGAGGGGAAAAAAATCATTATCATGACTAGCATTTACACCTGTATTGTTTTGTCTTTGTGTGTTCCTTACCACTTCATTTTCAGTTTTAAGAAGGTTTTCCTTGAATAGATATGTAAAATGATCATTTTAGACAACATATTACAAACTACTAATGCAGAAAAAAAACATCTGACGAAATTAGTATCAAGACTGTCAATCAGGAAGGAAAAAATGAAGGTGGAAACAATAAGTAAGGACTTAGGAGGAAAACAAAGCAAATGTTTTTGTATTTTTCTTGCATGATGTATCCCTTGGTCAAAAGAGGGCAGTGTTCTCTTCTTTTTCTTTTTAAACTGTTCCGGGTTTTTCCTTTAGGGAGCGCCACAGCGAAACATCCTGCATCCATTTCAAGCTCAAACCTACTTTAATGCCGCTGATTTCATTTTTATGCGATAAAAAAACCAGTAAGAATTTTTCATTATAGAAATGAAAAATAAACCGAAAATGTCTTGCTGCTTCAGAATTCACCTAAATAGTAAAAAAAAATAAAAAAAAAATAAAAAAAGAAAATGTCCATGTGGTCTTTCTGGAAGACTGGCAAGAAAAAAAAAAGATAATATAAAAAAGAAAGATCAAAGAACTTCTGTTTACAGTTTGGAACAAAAATGGTACATTCACAAATTGTGAGCATCTTTCAGAGCCTTTTTCAAGTTATCTCAAAATGTTCAGCATAGGGTCCAGCAACAACCCTACTAACCCTAAACTAACTGGCCAGGCAAAAAGAAAAACAGCCTCCAACAGGTTGATGAGCTGCAACTGTCCAGAGAGAATAGGGAAACCTCTTGTTGCAAATTTGGGCTTTTTGTTAGAATGGATTGAGGAAGCCTGCTTTTGAAACAAACCTGCAAGACGTCTTGCCAAACCATGAGAGCAACAGCTTAATGATTTTGTTGCTGATTCAGTTGCACTGATTTTGCTGCAACTAATTTTGTTGCAACACTTCTCTTTTCTACTCTTTTTTTCTGAACATAGCTCAGGTAATTTTCAAATATATTAACAAGAAATAATCAAAGCAGTATATTTATAATTCCTTGCAAAAAATGTATTCACTTGAATTCTTTTTCATTTTGTCATTTCTTTAAGCACAAACTTTAATGTCACTGTTTTCTGTTTTGTGTGATAGAAAAACACGACAAATTGCACAATTGTGAAGTTGAAAAACAGGTCTATCTATTTTATGCCAATTTACTTATGAAAGGACAAATGTGACAAATATGACACTTTTCAGAATGATTTCATTGGAAAATAAACCATCTTTTAAAAAAAAGCCAGACAAAATGTTTTAAATCACACTGTCGTCTTCTCTAATTTTGCAAAATTAGAGAAAATAAAGATGCCTGAGATTGAAAATATGTTTCCTCAGTGCAATGAAAAGAAAAAGGATCAAAATATGAAAAGTAACCCCATTAATGCCAAAAGTTTTTCCGTGATTTTAGGACCAGAAGCATCAAGAAACTAAACATATACCAGCTTTGCTCTGTTATTTCTCTTCACACTGCAGCTCCACCACTAAGTGTCTTAAACCCACTTTTGAAAGAAGTTGAAAAAAACTCTTCACTTCCTGTACCAGCTGCTTGCCAAATGTAGTTTCTATTTATATGTGCTATCAAAGACAAATAAGATTGGGTTGCAAAGGTAGACAGCGCCTGGCTCTCCTGAGGAGACTCAGGGGTTCTCTAAGTCTGCTAGTAATCTGCTTGGTATTTTTAATTTCACACAGTAACATAGTGCATTGTGACTCAATGTAGAAGCTCTGTGTGCTCTTCTTAGCAGTAATATGGTAAATTTTAAATGTTTTTTTAATATTTAACTGAATGACATGAGTAGAGTAATATGACTTAATTTTATTTTACAGATTTTGTTTATTCATTATACATACAGTTTGTGGTGACTATGACGTGTGTTGTGTTGTGTGTTTTTGTGCTATTACCAAAGATAAATTTCCATTTTATGTAAGTTTAATGGACAATAAAGGAGTCTAAAGTCTAAAGTCTAAACTGAATATGCTGACAGCTTCTCGCCCACATCAAAGATCTTGTGATCTCACAAGATCACAAGGTCATGTGATCTTGTGAGCTGTCAAGTTTGACTATGACTGAAAATGTTTCTGACTGCGGCATCAGAACTGGGCTGAACTTTGTGAGTGTCAACTTTCAGCATGTCTGCTGTCTGGGTGAAACTCTCCACCATCCTTTGCCTCTGCTACACAGCAGGTAAGACTCAGTCAAATTAAATTATAAACATTAGCATGCATGTTTAAGACAATGTGATGGGGGTATTAAAACAGGCTTTTCCTGATTTTTTTTTTCTTCTTTTGTGTAGAGATGACAGGAGTGCAGTGGAGAGAAGTTGGGCAATCCATTACAATCCAGTGCAGAATTGATTCTGATCAAGAACAACTGAGCTTAAAAATGGGTCTCAATGAGACCGAGATTGTTGTAATAGATGGAGGCTCAAAAAAAGAAATCATTCTTGAAGAAATGAAAGACCGAGTTCAGACACATGGAACGTTCCCCAAGTATGATATTCTCATTAAAAACTTGCGTGAAAGTGACACAGGACCATATTCTTGTACTTATTCAAAAACAGGAGACATTGAACAATCGTTCTGTATCAGCACCACAAAAGGCAAAGGATCTGTGCTGCTGGTGGTGACTGGTGAGTATTTATTTTGTCCTAGATGTTGCTTCTTGCTAATAAAACAAATGAAACTACCTGCCGTTAAAGGCTTTTTAATTAGAAAGGCTTTCCTACTCAGATAAATTAGATTAACACAAAATTAGCAAGTAAAGATTGTGACAGAAATCACATTACTGCTTAGTTTTGGGTGTTTTCTATTAAAGTTTTGAGACAAAAACAATGAGATAATATTATTTCATGCAAAAATGCTTTCCTAGAAACTCTTCTGTGGAGCATAAATAATGATATATGGTTTTGATTTGAAGAAAATAGAAAAGAACCGACAACATCACCATCAAATGTTCCTCAGCAAAAATGTGAAAGACTAGATACGAACATGGTGCTGGTGGCGATTGTCATCGCTGTTGGTGTCCTGCTCATCATGATGCTGGGCTTTGTCCTGTTTATCACACACAAGGTATGAATTTGTGCTGTTTTTGTCTTTGTTGAGTTTCGTAAGTTCACTGTTTGTGTCTCTGCGGGTGTCTCAGAATCAGAAAGCCTTCCGGACTGAAAGTGTGACTCATATTCTTTTGTGAAACTTATGAAAAGTCAACAAGAACCTGAACCTCAAACTTAACAGCACAACGAGGTTCCGAACTCCGTGAACAGGAAGCCTGGCGCTTATAACACCGAACATCTTCACAGGTCTTTCAAAGACAATTAACAAAATCGAAACATCAAAAGCAAAAGTAAAAATAAAAAAAAGACGTGTGTAGCACTTTTAAAGACATGAATAAATCAAGTGAAAAACAAAAAAATATAAAACACATTTCATTTAAATAGTACATTTAGTAGTAAATAGTTAAAATAGTACTTCCAGAAGACAGCTAAAAATTCAATTCATAGTATTCAAACTTATCGGAAAGCAGTTTCAGAGTTTTACAACAAGAGTTAAAAATGCTCCGTCACGTTTTGTTTTAAGCCCTGAATGTAGCACAGCCACCAGAACCTCAGACACCGACGAGGGACAAATGGTGAGGAGATACTGGTCTGTGAGGACCTCTGCAAATTCAAATGGTCTTATTCAATATCGCTGTAGACAGGAAACCATTGAAGCCAAACAAGAAGTTGTGTCATGTACAAAAATTTGACCTAGTCAGTAAACTAATGAATGTGTTTGTAACCATTTGCAGATGGTTCATGCTTTTTTGGTTTATGTAGAAAATTACAATAATAAAGCCTGGAGGAAATAAAAGTGTGTAAAAGAAAACCCAGCTTACACGACGGAACTCAACTGTGCAATGTTTTATGAAACATAAACAAAAGCAGGGATTTGTCATGAATTGTAACATAAAACCTCGTTCAAAATGTATCTCAAAGTTCGTCAGAGTAGACTGAGGGCATATTTTCTCAAAAGCAAAGAAAATCCTTTTAGCATCTCATTAATTCACGGGAAGAAGGTTTTAGCCACCAAACTTTTTATTTTGTCTAAACACTGATGCAACATCTGCAAACTTGAAACCTTGTGAAACTTGGAGGAAGTGTATAATTGCACAGCCACTGCATTGCATTGCACTGATAAGAAATGTCAGAATGAACAAAGAGGTAGCGTATGACACGGAAACAACGGGGGCCTCAACACATACCTTTGATGTTTGCTATTTTGGAACAGTGTTTAACCTGTAGTTTGAGGCAGCAGTAGAAAACAATCTAACAAGAATTGTGCTAAATATGCATTTTATGAAACTATATCAAATCTAATTAGTTATTTTCCAGCTGTTTACATGTCACAGATTATTATTCCAGATAACACATTTTAAACATTTCATTCAGAAATGCTTCTAGATTTGTCCTGATCATTTTGACTTGTGTTATTTGTGTTGCCGATGCGTTGCAAAGCACAAAGATGGTGCTTCTCATCCAGGACCAACAGAACAACTTGCTTAAAAAATGTTGTCACTCAAACTATTGCAAAACATCTATTTTATAGATTTTTTAAAAGTTGTTATATTTGGTTTCAAATTCATTTCCTCCATTTTAAACCAGTCTAACTTGTTGACGATCTTTTTGTGACCAGACCAAGAGCTCAGACAATGCAATGAAACCGAGGCGTGTTGCTACTGGCAATGATGTTTATGAGGACATGCGAGGAACACTGAGGCGCTGAGGATGTGCTTGCAGGACGCTGACATGCACAAAACTCACGAAACCGTGGACCACAGAGACAAGAGAATCATGCGATGCACTTCCTCAACAGATGCACTCTTTCAAAAGGCAAGCCTATGTTTACAAGACAATGTCCACAAAGAAAAGGAAGAGAGTGGACAGACTCGATCAAACAATGTACAGTTGTAAATGTTTCTATTACTTTATTTTAAGCTGAAAAACAAGTATTATGTGTAGCATAGATGTTTAAAAATGTATCTTTTTTTTTGTAATTTAGTGCAGAGTTTTACTAATATTTTATCTTTTCTTTTTTAAATGTAGAGCTGGAACAGAATAAAACACCCAGTCTGATACTTAGAGAGCAAATAAAATTAATCTGGCAAATTGAAAGTTTGAGAAGTTTTAAACAATTCTTTAAAAAAATCTTTTTTTTCTGTTCCCAGATTTTCTGAGGTGTTTTTAGTAACAATCATGAAGCATCTAGCATGAATGAAACACATCGATGTCTTGCATATTTTATAAAAGAAGGCTTCAGTTCACTGTTTCTCAGTGACCAATGTCATGCATTTCAGCGAAGATATGATTTATATGAGTAAAGCCAACTTTCACCTCTACCTTTCACTTAAAATATATATATATATATATATATATATTTTAATATATAGACAGATTTTAATTCTGTTTAATGCCAATGCTCAGGTGTCATTTTGAAGCTCTTGGCTACAGAAAATCTTCATGATTAAGAAGTATTTATAGTAAACAGTTGATATTTACAGAAACATATGTCAGGTACAATCAACTTTTCCAAGTTGGATTGTTATTTAAAATAAAGACTAAAACTAAGTATAAAATCTTGGTACTGGTTAAATCAAGGTTTATTTTTCTGTTAAGTGTAATACAATTGTCTGTATTTTGTTAAGTGTAATACAATTGTCTGTATTTTTTTTAGTAATAAAGCAATTCCTTTGCTTACTTTAAAACCTTCCCCAGCTTTTACATTGTCTTGAAAAAGTGTTAAGACCTGTGGAGGTTTCCCACATTTTGCCACAATTTAAGAACAAACTTCAGTGCATTAAGTCAGATTTTTAAAGCAGAGAAAAGTAGCACACGACTGTGAAGTGCAAGGAAAACAATTCATAATTTTCATTTTCCTGTTTTAAAAATGTACCTCTGTAAAGTGTGCTGTGCCATAATTCATGAACGTTGCACGGGGCAAACTCCTCCTTTTTGTGCATAAATGACTGAATAACATGTGGCTAGAAGGCAAGGAAATTTAAACTAGGTTTTGAAGAATCCTTACTCAGTCTCAAATCATTCAGTTCACCTAAATTTGTGCTTGTCTTAGTTTTAGGGTGTCTTGATCCCAGACAAGCATTAGGATGTTCTTCCTTTGTGATTTGAAAAAGAAATGTGGATAAATATGATTTATGAGTTCAGTTCTATCTTTTGTAAATAAATAAATAAATAAAATAAAATAAAACTGTGAAGCACAGGGATGCATCTGCAATGTATGAATTGAAAATGACAGTAAGTTTTTCTTCAATTTGCTTGGCCTCGTATTTCTCACAGATCAGGTGAAAAGCAACTGTAACCATAATTGTTCTCATAGACAGACAGACAGATAGATCAATAGGAGTCTATACTGTATTTTGACCAATAGTTTTGTGGTCCTGACTTCTCTCTCCTGCCAGCTCTTGCCACATTATGGTCTTCTTTTACACTATAACCACCACCAGTCTAACCCACAACAAGAGAGTCAGTCACTGTGAAGGTGAAAGCATAAAGTCTTACAGTAAATGTGGGCAGAGTTAGGAGAAACAGCAGGTGCACAGTCCCCATGTGTCACCTTTAGAGGGACAAAACCTAATCAGTTGTACAAATGTCTGTCAACTTGCCAGACTCTCATTCAATGGACTGTCTCAAAATTGTTACTATTTGAAAAGCTGGAAGTCATATTGTTTTCACAAGCCATTTTGAACCAAAATGACTAATAGAACATCTGCTGAGATGCTCCTGTTGATGAAGTTAAAGATTACTAATAAGTCATAGAAGAAGAAAAAGAAATGTTGGTAATTTATTAACACTGGCAACTCAAGCTAGCCCATTTGCTCTCTTAAGTGGTTGTTCATTTATTATAAATCTTAAAGCTGTTCAAACAAGACACGTCCCGTTGAAGCTGAAATGTAAAACACATTGCTTGGGTGAAAGAAAGAAAAAAAAACAGTGCTTGCAAAGTTTAGATAAGCTGGATGTTTACTTAAGCGGCAAGTTTGTGGTTAAAGGTCATATTTTCTTCACGAAGATGCTCCACAGGACACTGAGGTGTGAAACGTGTCATCCTGTGTGTTTGTAGGCGAAATGTCAGAGATGAGAAGCGCAGGGACACGGTGAATGTTTTGTATCAGCGTACGGTTCAGAGGGACCACTCAAGAATGGTCGTGAGCGAGATGTAAACCAAACGGTGCCACAAGTTAAAGCAAGTGGCGGAAACGAAGACCACTGTTCCGAGAAACGCAACCTAAGCACATCAACAGCGAGAGCATCCAGCGAGAGCCACAGCTTTTGTATTTTCTCCTTTTCTCCAGTGAACTTTATGCACTTTTGCATTTTTATTTACTCAATTAAAAAAAGTTTAAGCAAGAGCAGGAAACTTCTCGACACGCACCTGCAGCAGGCGGTGTAAATGTGTCACAACTTTATCACAGGAAACAATAAAAGAACTGTGTCAGAAAGCGCATGCACAAAATATAGCGTAAGAGAAACAGATAAACAGAGTATGAACTGACGAATGTTGACGGAAACAGATGAAACTCTAAGCACCGACTGCCAGCTTTGAAGAAAAACACCTCAGTATCAAGTATTATAATCTGCACGATTTGTGAGAAAACAGTGGAAACTGGGTGCTTTCGGAGGAGTGGGTAGTTTGTTTTGGATGTAGCATGTCTGGTTTCAGATTGCCTTATCTTGCACAGGTTCAAAATACTTTAATCCACAGCTTCCCCCGCTTTCTGGTTAAAATCAGCAACAGGATGTACATTTATATTTATTAATATATCAAGGCATATGTCACAGTTGTATGGTTAAATTAGCAAGTAATTGTGGTCCAAAAAACATGACCACTATGCTGCCACACTTTGCTGCTTTGTATTCTTTGGCATGGTTGCCTCGTCAGAATGAAAAAAATAAAAAAAAGTCTTGACTTTGTAGCTAAACAGCTCAACTATTGTCTCCTCGAATAGGAAGGCATAAAATCTGATAAACATGGGGGCCTGTCTTGTGTGTACTCCATCTGGAGAAGGATGGTACAAAATAGATTATGTGGAAGTTACAAATTTAAACAAATTGAAGGTTTTTTCTTGGTCATCACATTCTCGTTCTCAGACTAATAATCTCATTTAGCGTGTGTGAGGTCGGCTTTCAATCTTGCCCCGACAAAGTTTGCATATCAGGCTAAATTCAATTCAAATTTCAGCTTTTTTTGTACGTTGACTATAAATGTGTGTGACTCATGTAGACGTTCACGACAACCCCAACTTCAAACAAGCCGTCTTAGGTTTTAATGAGATGTCACAAAGCACTCTCCTCCTTCACATTCAGGGATCTGCAGCTCCACCTTTATTGACATTTTCACATATGGCATTGACAGTAATATCTGTTTTTGCCCACCTGTAGGGTATTTGCAAGTGGAAGTTCCCGCATTTGCCTTTTATGCTCAGACACTACAGTTTAGCTTTCAACACCTCGTGTCTCTAAATGTATAAACTTTCCGTCAATAATTACCCAGGTTTCAAAGAAGTTAGAGGACATTATGTTAAACTACAAGAGGATCGGTGAGGACTAATTTCTCACTGGCCAGTTGTTCAGAGTACACACTGTTGAAACTTACTGAAAGTGCAGCTGATTCAAGCAGCTGCGTGTTTTTCTGGGCCATGCACCTGACATGTCCAGCCACAAATGGCACACTCAATCAGATTATATTTCATTTTGCCGCATCAACAAGTTCTAATGTATTTAATCATAATTTTATGTGCAATGAGGGCGAAACAAGGCATGGTTTCATGTCTTTAATTGAATTTCTAAAAAATGGAGCAGATTTGCGTCACCGAAATGGTGAGCAAGTATTCGGAGTGATGTGAAGTTAGTTTTCTGACAAAAACAAATGTAGGTCGGAGCATTTAGTTTGGTGCCAATACACATCTGTACTCTTATCTCTGTGGAAAACACATTGATATTTTTATCTCTGTAACAGTAAAAAGGAGTTGTTGCTGTTGGCTCTTTATGACAACAGTTTTCTTCTCTCCACACTTTTTTTTTTTTGTCTCCCACTTCACAGTTTAGCACTATTTTAACAAAATACATGAAGGATTGTAGATGGAGCGTGACACAATTTGGGACCGCGTAATTAATACTTTCACAAGACACTTCAGAAGACAAGGACATATTTCTGCAGAACTCCAGGCTGGCTGCAAGAAAACTGTTGGTTTCCCTTCCGTGAGCGGCTAGGATCTGCTCCAGTTGCTCTTAAAGACCAAACTGAAACATTGCATCAACACAGACTTTGAATTTTCTCCTCAGTCACTCACGACGTTCCTCGTGAATGCGCTGGAATGCTCGGTGGAGACGGAAGCCGATGATGAGCCCACGCAGCGACCACAAGAGGTCCCTGCAGCTCAGAGACGAGCGTCTGCGTGCCGTGAAGGTGCAGCGGAGTGACACGGTTTGACATTTGAAATTCGGAAAGGTTAAAGGTCGACCGCGACACCGAACGCTTCATCCAGGGGCCACGTGGTTTCTCCAGGACTCAAAGAGTTGAAAGTCCAAACAGTTTTACCTGCCCGCACAGCAGCCTGTCAATACTGTACACACACGGTGTTATGTGTATGCAAGTGATAAAATGTTCCACACAAACGCACTGTAGGTTGATCTTTGCGCAACAGATCAGACCGGCGAAAATTGCTCAATTTCAGGATTCCTAATCCAATAATCCACACCAGATGATTCCCTGAGCGCACAGGTAAGTCTGACTTATTTCTGTGATAGGCGAGAGCCTCCCGCGGAGTGACTGTG